TCCCCCGCTCCGAACTCACCCTTCAATTGCATCCTCCAAGTTTAGTTAATTTTAACGTCAAAATTTTGACTCTTTATTTATAAAAAATGAATTTATTGATATTAAATTTATATCATAACTTCATATTTTTTTTCCATATTTTATTGTCAAAGTTAGAAACTTGTGACAAAAAAAATAATCTAGAAGATATTTTGGGAGGGAGGGGTACATCCTTTAAGCTGGTGAACTTTAACTACTTTGTGACAATTACTATGTAATACTCCGTATTAAAGACCAACTTTTTTTACTTTTTGCCTAACTAGTTTCATTTCATATTGTGGCTTCAAGTACTCACAGAGGCAGTTTTATGACAGTTTTATATTTCCTCTATGATGTTTTGTTATTATTAATAATGTTCTTTTTACATTTTATGTGACAACTTGCAATATGGAAAATATTACCGACAAATAAAAATGTTGCAACTAAATTGCAAGTCGAAATATACTATAACCAACCAAAAAAAGAGTTTTACCAACATAATATTTTGTCGGTAAAACACATTTTAGCAACAAATAATTTTTTACGGTATCTGTCGTTGTTAATCATTTTTAGCGGCATTATATTTCATATGTCGGTAATACTTTTGCTGAAAGATTTTCTAGCGACAGTGCAGCAACAGACAAACATCTGTTGGTAAAATCCAGTATCGACATATATTAAACATTTAGCAACAGATTGATGCATGTCGGTATAGCCTTTTTTTGTAGTGTAATTTTCATTGAACCTTGCACCTATAGGCTATAACCAAGTCTTCAAGAATAGTTTCAGGTATCAAGTGATAGATGAGATTAATTATTATCAAGTTATATTAAAAAAATATTTGGAAAAGGTTGGAAATTAAATTTGGTAAACCCAACAAAGCACCAAATTGAATAATTAAGACTTGATAGCCGTAACATACGTAAACGTACGTACTTCTAGAATTTAGACTTGAGAGCCGAGGTACGTAACTTGAATAATTAGGAAGGAGATGCTAATTGTTAATTCTGAAGTCTATCAAAAATAAATCTTGGTAGTCATAGTGTGAAAATTTTATTAAGGCATTTCCAATGTTAATACCATTGGTTTTTATTTATGTGTTGCGTTAACACAATTGATTTTTAGTATTAAAAACTATCCTATTAATTTTGATCCATCGCCACGGGACATTGTTTTTGCTACTAAACATTGTTCAAGTACTATTTAAAAAATAAACATAATAAGTTTTAGGTACTACATTAAAAAATAAGGGATATTAGCTATATGACACTAAAACAATGTAGTTCTTCCTAAATAGCACTAGTTCTATACTAAAAAACACAGTGTCGATAAATTGACTAAAATGCCCTCACATGTTTGAGTATAAAATTCTTCATACGGCTACAAGTATATAACACATAACTTTACCTTTTGTTTAAATTAATTCCTTGACATGACATCACTTCAACTAAAAAAAATGTACTCCGTAATATACAACAAAAGTAAATTTTTTGAAAAGAGGAAGTTTTAAGGCATGTTATTTTCAACTATATATTCCATTTTTTTAAATCCTAGCTAGAGTTTGTTTACCGGACAATAAAATAGGCTGATCACCTCTCCATAGTTTATTAGATTTACTTATTTAGGACTGTATTTTTTAAAATAAATCAAGATTTTTTATATAAATAGAAAATATATATATATATATATGTATGTATGTATGTATGTATGTATGTATGTATGTATGTATGTATGTATACAAAAAATTGGGCCTGGCCAAGTGACCACCTTGCCCCTCCTTAGAGCCGCCCCTTATTTTAGTTAAAATAAATACTTCATCTAACAAGATATCAGGTTTCAAGTGTTAGACGTACACTAGACTTCAATTATCAAATTTTAATTTTTAAATTCCAGTTATTATAGTAAAGCAATTAGATTACTGGAATCCTCCAATAAAAAGATTTTACAATAAAATTGACATAGTTATTAAGAAAAATGATTTTGTATAGTTGAAAGTGTTGTAAAAGAGAGAAAAAGAACTCAAACTAAATGAGCCAAAAAATGAAATTTCAGAAAAAATGAAATGTTTTTTTTGAATGATTGAAAAAAATGTGTAACTTTTTTAAATACTTACCCTCTCCGTCCTAAATCAATGACATGGTTCACAAATAAAAAATCACGAAATTTTTTTTATTTTACATTTTCATCGATTATTTGATAGGATAAAATATTTTTACCGCCTTTTTGTTTTAAATAACATTTGACATAATTTTTAATAAATATATAAATTTTATTTTTTACATCTATACAAATATTTAAATAAAATAAATTGAAAATGTTTGAAATTTCACTTATTTTACGTGTTATGACAAATATTTTGGGACAAAAAAGAGTAGGGAAATTTATCTAAATGGTTTTAAAACATAGTAACTTTCTCAATATAGTATCATATGATTTTATTTTTCAATGTAGTATCACTGGTCATTGTTCAAGTAAATGTCTAGCGTCATTGGACATTGTTCAAACTAAATGTCCACCATCACGAGATAATATTTTTACCACAAGACATTATTCATTTATTCTTAATTCTTTAGGCAATAAACAAATTTAGGTATCACATTGAAAATCACATATATTCCATTTTATTATCTAGTACAAATTTCACAAAAGAGTTTGAAACAAAAAAAAGAGTACTCCCTCCGTCCCTAAATGGATTACAATTTTTTTTTCTCTCTCCTCTTGATAACTTTTGTTTGTTTACGCAATTTGACTAAGTATTTGATAAAATAAAATATTCTTGTCATCTCTTATTTTGTAGAACTTTTCACGTAGTTTTTTAATATGTAATTTTTATATCTTATTGATATACCAATTTGTAAATAAAATGATTTCAAAAAATAGGAAATTTTATTCCGTAACCCGCAATTTGTAATTAAATTGGGGGACGGAGGGAGTATTATTTAACGTGCGAATGTCTCCTCATTAATTAAGGTGGTCTGTCATTTTCCGGACCTTCTCGAAGGATTAATTGTTTTACATGACACAAGCAAGTTTTACACGTACAAACATGACTTTGGCTGCTTCTACTTATCCATACCAATCCAATTTTATATTTTCAACTGTTCACCTCTATCTTTTTTAAATTTTTTTGTATAAATGAAGAGATGATATAGGAAAAAATTAATTTAATTAGTACGAAAAAGAAGAAAGTGATGTAATGTTAGAAGTAGATGATGTCGGAGAGCAATGAACGAGGTTGAATAGCAAATGTTCTAATAGGATAATATATGAGACATGAACCACAAAAAAATTGAGAATATCAATATGAGGACAGAGAATGTTTTATGACCTTAGTATATGTTTACATGCCAAAAATATGTGATAATAGAGGGGTGGTAGCTAGACATTTGGGGTAGAATTTTGATGTATTCCTAACATTTTTGTATATTTAACCAACTCTATGTTCTATTTGTCATCCAAATATCTATCATGCATGGGTGCCTCAAACTTATTCTTAACACAGCATATCATTTTTAATCATTAAATAAAAATCTAGATCATATCGTTGGTTATTTAAGATATTACATAATGTAGTAAGACTTTCAATTTCGAAAATTTCACAAATAATTTCTTAGTCACGTTAGCATTGCATGATTGGTACTTTACATACTCGAACATTAATGCAAAGTTTAAAATATTTGGACTTTCTAATTTTAGTCCTTAAATGACCTTGATGTGAGAGTATGCATAAGAGCAAATTTTAAAATAATTGGACTTTCTAACTTTAGTCCTTAAATGATCTTGACGTGAGTATGAAATACGGAGTAAGAGAGACGGTGTAAGAAATAAAGAATTAACGTTTGCTAGGTTTCGAACTTCTCATCTTAAAGAATTGTAAAAAAAAAATCTCTCAAGTCTCAACCATAAAATTGGATAGGTAAAAACATCGAGCGTTGACGAGTTTCTAAAGTTGCAATTAGTGGTGCGTACGCGTATCGGATAAAGAAGAATTTCAAGCATTCTTCAGGCTTTCAAAACTGAAACGAGAAGTAAAATAAGGATTGAAACGAGAAGGGATCGACGAACTGAGAAAAGATAAGAGATTTAGGGTTGGTGTTGTTATTAATTGATTATTCTAAATTGGCTGGGTTCTAAATACACCCACTCAAGAAGAGTGTCTTCGTAAATCACTCACCCAATTGAGACATCTACGATGCTCTGTTCGTAAAATTGATAGTTCTTACCCCTCGAACTCCCACAGTGAACCCCCCTCCCCCCACCTGGTCTTAACCCCAACTCATCCGCGCAACCACGCCAAATTCAGGCAACAAGTTTAGTTGGTTTTGGAGTCAAAAGTTTTTACTCCAAAGTTAACAAAGCTCGCACCCCACGATTGATGTGATTGGGGGATGAGTGGAGGTCGCAATTGGGTGGAAGGGTTCACAGAATCATAGGGGAGTTAGGGAGTGTAAAATATTAATTTTGCGAATGGAACACCGTATGTATTCCTATTGGGTGAATCGCTTCCGTAGCCACACTTTTGAGTGGGTGTAGAACGTACCTAGTCCTTTCTAAATAGGTTCCATCTTTATTTATAGAAAATTGAAGAACCCCTAACCCTAGTAGAAAATATAACCTGATGTTTAATAAAAGCGACTAGAAAAAACGCATTAAGAAACCTCGAATAAGCATATAATTTCGTTCATCTAATAAAATGTATTCTTTCGTGTCACAAAACCGTCATTCTTTCTTTGTTAACCCCTTCTGAAATCGTTAGCTTTTATTTTCCCAATTAAACATTTAACCATTTTTCAAATAAAATTTAAAGAATTCAAATTTTATTTGAAAAAATAAAAAGAAGAAGAAGAAGTAGAAATACACGCGTGAATTGTCTTTGGGGTGGGACTGTGGAGGATGAAACGGGACCCATGAGATTTGGGTGGAATCCATTAATAAACCCACCGACCATATATATGAAGAAGATGAAGAAAAAATCTCTACAAAAAGAATATCTTTCTCATCATGAAATTCAATCCATATCCATTTACAGCTTCTCCTCCTCCTTAATTTCACGCCATTAAAGCTTTTTCTCCATAGTCTCCCTATGCATCTTAAAAGCCTCTGTTTCATCCTCCCCGCCGACGAAACAGAGCCCGTCGGTTCCCAAAAGCCCAGCAAAGAATCCGCCACCGGGGAAACAGGTCCGCCGCAATCCCCCCGGAGGGGATGCGGGGGACAAGCTCTGGACTTCATCAAACAGTCCCTGCACAGATTCTTGGTCGGGAAGAATCGGTCTTCCGGGGAGTTCCACGATGCTGACGGCGTGGGAATCTCCGGGAACAGAGTCGGCGCCGACAACCCGAGGATCTTCAGCTATGCCGAGCTGTTCGTCGGGACAAAAGGGTTCGCCGGAGATCAAGTGCTGGGGAGCGGCGGATTCGGGAAAGTCTACCGGGCGGTTTTGCCCAGCGACGGAACAGAGGTCGCCGTAAAGTGCTGCCTCGCGGAGAGAGGGGAGAAGTTCGAGAAGACGTTTGCGGCGGAGCTCGCGGCGGTGGCCCATCTCCGCCACCGGAATCTCGTCAAACTCCGGGGATGGTGCGTCGACGACGACCGCCTCTTGCTCGTGTACGAATACATGCCGAACCGGAGCCTGGACAGAGTTCTCTTCAAGAAAACAGAGCATTTCTTAGACTGGGAGAAGAGAAAGAAGATCATAAAGGGATTAGCCGCCGCATTATTCTACTTGCACGAGCAATTAGAGACTCAGATAATCCACAGAGACGTGAAAACTAGCAATGTAATGCTCGATTCCGGCTTCAACGCCCGTCTGGGCGATTTCGGCCTCGCCCGGTGGCAAGAACACCGCCGCCGTACCGGCGAGCCTCAATCAAGAACACCCTCCACGAAGAACCAACAGTTCCGGCTAGCAGAGACCACAAAGATCGGAGGAACCATCGGTTACTTGCCGCCGTAGAGCTTCCAAAGGCGAGGAAGTGTGGCCACCGCAAAATCCGACGTTTTCAGCTTCGGGATCGTGTCCCTCGAGGTGGCGTCGGGGCGGCGTGCGGTGGATCTGGCCTGCCCGGACGACCAAATCGTGCTCCTTGATTGGGTCCGCCGGCTCTCCGACGACGGCGCGGTTTTGCTCGCCGGAGACGTCAGGCTCGCGGACGGCTCGTTCCGGCTGGTGGAAATGGAGAGATTGATTCAAATTGGGCTTTTATGTACTCTTCAAGAACCTCACTCAAGACCCAATATGAAATGGGTTTTGGAAGCTCTCAATGGAGAAATTGTTGGGAAATTACCAAACCCTCCTTCGTTCAAATCTCATCCTCTCTATATTTCATTCTCGTCTTCATCTTCATCTTCATCTCGGTCATCACCGGAAACCTTCTTCTCTGCTTCCGCAGAAACAGGGTATTTGTCCGCAGAATCCGGGATTTCCGGGAAGAGCATCACAAATTACAATAGCGCCAATCGTGATTGGGGGAGTGGGTTTCCGGCGGTGGAAACGCCGAGAGAGTTCGCATTCAAGGAGATCATGGAAGCGACGGACCGCTTCTCCGAGCGGAGGAGAGTTGCAGAGGTGGATTTTGGGACGGCGTACAGAGGATTCTTGGCCGGAGGCGGGGAAATTCTGGTGAAGAGGTTGGGGATGAAGACGTGCCCGGCCCTGAGGACGAGGTTCAGCGACGAGCTACGGAACATGGGAAGACTCCGACATAGAAACCTCGTACAGCTCCGAGGCTGGTGTACAGAGCACGGGGAGATGCTTGTTGTCTACGAGTACTCCCCCGCCCGTCTCCTCAGCCACCTACTTTTCCGGCACGGCGGACTCAGGTGGCACCACCGGTACAACATAATCAAATCCCTCGCTTCTGCGATTCACTACCTCCACGAAGAATGGGAGGAGCAAGTGATCCACCGGTGCATCACATCCTCCGCCGTAATTCTTGACTCCGGCATGAACCCGCGGCTCGGTTCATTCGCTCTGGCCGAGTTCTTGGCTAGGAACGAGCAGGGAAACCACCACGTGGTCGTCGACAAGAACAAATCCGTCCGCGGGATTTTCGGGTACATGTCGCCGGAGCACATGGACTCCGGGGAGGCGACGGCCGCGGCGGCGGATGTGTATAGCTACGGGGTAGTTCTCTTGGAGATTCTAACCGGGGAACCGGCGGTGGATTTTCGCCGGCCGGAGGTGCTGTTGGTTCACAAGCTACATAAGTTTGAGCAGAGCAAAAGGCCGTATGAAGATCTCGCCGACCGGCGGCTGGACGGCGGAGAGATTAATAAAAGCGAGTTTATTCGGGCGGTGAGATTGGGAATTGCGTGTACACGATCCGACCCGACCCGGCGGCCCAGCATGAGGCAGATTGTAAGGATTCTAGATGGACATGACGAGTGGTTTGTTAAAAATGGGCTGAGGAAGGAGACAGGGGTAAAATGGAGAAAAAGAAATGCTTCTTCTTTGTCACATGTTAGAAGGATGCAAGCTCTTGGCATTCATTGAATTTAATTTGGGTAATGTGTAAAAATAGTATAGATTCTCCCTAAATATTGAGAAAATTATGAAAATGAAATCAATAAAAGTGAAATATAATTTTGAGATTTTTAAATATAATGGAGTATGTATTAGTAATTTTAGTATTATCGATTATTTTGGATTATTATGATGTACTTAGATTTGACGATAATTCTAATCTATGTTATTAATGAATTTTGAAGTGCGCAGAGCACGCTCGTTCCATGATATTACAAATTTTGAATTGGAGTTTGAGAGCGACAACTCTTGTCAGCGGGATCAAGAGACGGTAGTCTCTGACGGGATCCAAAGAGGCAAAATGTGTAAATTAAACGTTCGAATGTAGGTAAGTTCTAAAAACTCTCTTTGCAAAATATCATGTAACATTTGAATATTCGGTGGTACTCTAGTGCACGCCTTGCAAAAAAAATTGCAAACATTGAAATGTTGGTTTCTAACATTTAAATGTTTGACGATTGGATGCAATGTTTCATGTGGGAAAATTGCGAAAGTGTGTGTGAAGTGCAACCAACATTTGAATGTTTGACAAAAAAGATGTGTTGTTTCATAAAATATGCTCATTCGTATTTTTGTCTATTAATACATGGGTCTAGGGTATATTTTTGGATAAAAGGACATCCATATTTGCACTGGGCAAGTTCATAAGAGCCCGTGGTACTACTAGAATTTATCACAAAACGTACTTAATTATTTAAGTGGTTCGGTATAGGTACGAGATGCGTCCCAATACCATCCACTACCCTATCATTTTGAAATGAAATGATATCATACCATACTCAATATCGGTGGCCCGTGCACTTTAGCATCGAGCTCGGGTTTTAGACTCAAGTCCATGTGTTAGCTCGAGCGGAATTAATATTACTCGTAACATTTATTATTTCCATAATTATAATAAAATAATAATGACAATAGCATCAATAATAATATTAATAATTCAAATTATTATAAATACACATATATACTTCTATAGAGAAAAAATGAATTATAAATGTATTTAATAAATTGAATACATCTTTATTTCTCCATACTACTCACTCTATATCACACATTGATAGTGATATTCAAACAAGTTAAATAATGCTCCCTTCGTTCTTTTTATTCAATTTCTATTCACCAATTCAAACTTGAATCATTCTCTTTATATATTTTCGTTAATTATTTGTAAAAAATAATATAGTCATGTGTCACTTCTTATTTTGTAAAACTTTTGGTATAGTTTTTAAATATATAAATTTTATTTTTTAATTTTTCACCTACTATCAAATAATTTAAATTGAAAATGAGTTCAATCAAACCTCATAAACTGAACTAGGAAAAAAGTTTTAGGCCGAATGTAGTAATAACATTATCTAACAAAACATATTTTAAATATTAGTCTCAATTTGATATACTCATTGTAATTATTATTTCAAATATCTAATGCATTATTTTATTTTAAAAAATATTTATTTTAATTATTCAGAAGTTATTGCTCATACAGAACAGGTTTGTTCGAGGCCCATGCTATACTGCTGGCAAGGTTTGGGCTTCAATTGTTAGAGGTGCTATTTGAGCTGGACTCAAACTTATAAAATTTTCGTAATATAGCATCTCAGCCTGTTTCGAAACTCAATCCGGCTCGTACTTCAAACATGTCTAATATTTCATCCGTCCACAAATAAACTTCTCGTTCACTATTCATAGGATGAAACTTTATTCACTTTGTAGATCTTTTGATATAATTTTTTAATATATGATTTTTATCTTTAAATTTTACACTATTTTTCATATAAAATGATTTGAAAATGATTTTAATCAAATATTATAACGCGCAACGAAAAGTTTATTTGTAGAAGGGAGTAACAAGCTATTGGCTCCAAAAAGGTGGAGGGTGCACTAGCGAAATCCACTGGTTAATTAGAAAGAGAGAAAGAGTGAGACAGCTGCCCTGTCATTAAAACAACAGACAATTGGATAATTGGGGGGGAAAACTTGCCTACTGAATGAAGCCTTCATGTGTTCATTGTTTTGGGGCCTCAAATTTTTTTCAGAAATGTTCCATTTTCAATCGTTAATCTTCCATCAAAATATGTGTCTGCATATATGGAGACCAATTGAGGGTTGATAAAGATTTAGTGGGAAAAATCTTATTTTATTCTACATATATTTCTATTTTTATTACATTTATCGTATTAATATATTAAATAATTTCCCATTTTATTACATTTATTTTATACGATATTCTCAAAATATTAGTTTATCGTATTAATATATCATATAACTTCTATTTAATTCAAAGTCAAATATTCAAAAAGATTAAGTGTGAAAAATCAAAATTAAACAAATATTAGAGACGAGGTAGTATATTATTTAATGTCACTAGTGGCATACAAAAATGCCATTATGTTGGATTTGACAAGAAAAATCAAATTAAGACTAAAATATGTTTCTTATACTAAAATGAAATATTTCAATTTTATATCAAAATATGACTTATCATGTAGAATAATGTCACAACATATAATGTCAAAAAATAAAAAATAAATACTCAATTGCAGGCGTTTCACATTCTAGCACTCTTATTTTGATATAGCCTTTATTTTTTAATGTTATTCAAGTAATTTTTTAAATATATTTATCTAATCTAAACAAATTATAGGCACTCATTTTTTACTATCCAATATTTTTAAATATGTTTCTTAAGTGAAGTCAAAGAGAAAAAATCGTTTATGAGATGAAAGTAATATTAATTAATTAATATTTGAAGAATAAAAAATTACTTGGTCCGTCCCTGAGTGTTTGTCTACTTTTGACTTTTGGAACTGTTCATCTAAGCACTTTGACTCATCAAATTCTCTCAATGTGTAAGCCTAAAAATAGTCATGTGTGATCTTGTTTGATTCGTCTTAACATATAGATTATTAATATATAATTTTTATAATTTCTTAATGTACAAATTACAAGATAAAATGGATTAAAAAAATGTATTGAATGGTGTGCAAAAATGAAAGTGGACAAACACTTAGGCACGGAGGGAGTATGATTATACGTAAGTAAAGAGTATGTTCACATTTTCAAAAGAAAAAAAAGTACATCGTATTTTTCATTTATACGGAGTACTACATATTTCATTTTTTTTTTCTTTTTTTGCCAAAAAGGATAAAGCTATTTATACCCCACTTTGTAACCTGCAGGTTTGCACCGACAATTTGTGTTGGTGTAAAACTAATTTTTGTTAATGCACCAACACTTTGTGTCTGTGTAAATTTTTGTTAACGCACCAACACTTATGTCGGTATAAACCATCAAAATATTTGTGTATAACTGTTGTGTACAAATGGGGTACAATTTGTGGTATAAGTATAGCATGACCCTGCTAAAAAATATCAACCATCTAACATTATGCGTGAGTAAGCTTTGGCCCAGATAAAAAATTAGTACTGGACCAAACTATATTTAATTGATTTTATTGGATACTTCTTTGTTTCCAGCCCAATTACTTAACGCTGACTGCCAGTTTTATCCAATCCCGGCCCATAAGATACCAAGATTGCTTGGACTAGAATATTTGTTCTTAAAAACATATTCCATCTCAAAATGTTATCACAGTTAATTTTTTTTATCCAAATAGTGCAATAATTTAACCATAAATTAAAAAAATAGTTATAATCTAAATTTTATAAAATTAGGTTATTTTAAAATATATTTTTGATATATATCAAAATTTTTAAATATTTAGTTATTTAAAATTGTACTCCCTCCGTCCCTTAAAAATTTCCGTTTTGACTTTTTGAGGATTTAAGAGGAGTATATTTTGGTGTTAATTTTCCAAAAATGTCCTTTGATGTGATTAATAAAGTAGGATGAGATGGATAGATTAATAGAGAAAAAGTGTGATGTGATAGGTAGGTTAAAAATTAATAGTGGTAAAAGTGACTTTTTAATAGGAAAAAGAAAGCATTTTTTGGGACAGATGAAAAAAGAAATGAGAACTTATTTGCGGGACGGAGGGAGTATTAAATTTGTGGCAACATTGTTACAAAATTTGAACAAAAAAATCAAATTATAGCCATCTTTTTAGGACAGGTGGAGTATAATAGCTAGGGAAGTAAAGTTCTCTTTGGAATGAACAAAAAAAAGCAATTTTTTAAGAGGATACCCAAAAGACACATTAAGAGCCTGTTCTTTAGGACTGTAAAAAAGAGCTGGATGTTGGAAGAAACTGGAAAAAACTAGAAGGAACTGGAAGAAACTGAAAAAAAACTGGAAGAAACTGGAAGAAACTGGAAGAACTGGAAAAAATGGGAAGGAACTGGAAAAAACTGTAAGAAACTGGAAAAAACTGGAAGGAATTGGAAAAAACTGGAAGAAACTGGAAAAAACTGGGAAACCTAAAAAAAGCTTTAAAAAAATTTATTTTAAATTCTTGTTGTTATTAATTATTATTATTATTATTATTATTATTACTATTATTATTATTACTATTATTATTATTATCATCATCATCATCACAATCATCATCATCATCATAATCATCATCATCATCATCACGTTATTTTAATGAATGTCTTAACATATAAAAAAAGTATTGTTATTTTTTAAATACAAAAAACTACTTTTACAAAAAATAATTATAATATAAAGTTAGCATAAATATAAAAATATTAAATTTTAAAAAGACTGTGTAGTTATATTGCACCTCAATTTATTTATGCAGTATTTATTATAAATAATATACTTGTAATTATAATTTATATATTAAAAGATTTTGTTCTAAATATCAAACATGTCACATAATCAAACATATTGTTTCTTTCATGATTGACATTTTATTTTCATTGAATTCCTATTTTTGGAATAAAGACATAAAACTTTTTTGTTTACATTTTTTTATGTTTTCATCATATTTTAGTCTTTTTCTCTAAGCTCTTTTGACTTACAATTTTTTTATAAAAATTAGAAAAATGAGCAATTTTTAAGTAATAAAGGAAAAACTGAGATGTCTTATAAAAAGTTATATTAATAAAACATTCAATGTAACTATCTTATCCATAATTTTTTAGTATAATTTAACATATTGATGTTTTCCTGTTTTATCATGTGGACTAATATACAAAAAATGTCTTATGTCTTATTCATATTAAAAAGTTAAAGAAAAAAAATAATAAGTGTGAATCGTAAAAATAGTGAGATGAAAAAAATAATTTATAAACTATAGTCATAAATATAACAGTATATAACATTTGTAATAATAATAATAATAATAATAATAATAATAATAATAATAATAATAATAATAATAATAATAATAATAATAATAATAATCACATTGAAATATATCATTTTTAGAGTAATTGGTTGAGGAGTAGAAGGAATTTGAAGAAAATGAGAAAAGTTGGAAGAAACTGGAAGAAACTGAAAGAACTGGAAGAAACTGGAAGGAACTGGAAGAAACTCGAAAAAACTAGAAGAAACTGGAAGGAACTAGAAGAAACTTAAAGTTAAGAGTTCAAATCCTAAAAAACATACCCTAAATCGGGCATCTCAAATCATAAGGCACACTTTCATATTTGGTATATTTGGTGCTCCCTCGGATTCATAAATTTTTTTATACCTTTAATTGATTAAGTTTAAGAAAATTGTTGAAAATTAAGTAACTAGTACTCTCTGTCCCAAAAAGAATTTTTTATTTTGATTAACGTGCAAAATCCTGTAGTTTTTAAAATCATTTTATTTGCAAATTGGTAAAGAAATAACACACAAAAATTATATTTAAAAACTACATCTAAAACTCTACAAAATAAGAGGTGACAAGAATATTTTATGTAATCAAATGATCTATAAAATTGAACACGCAAACAAATAAGAGTTATCGAAAAGCCATAATAGTAAACAAGAAAGACTTTTTGGGACGGAGGGAGTATGTGGTTAGAATTTGTTTAGACGAGAGGATGATTGGTAGCCACATATTCATTTTAAATATAAGGAATAAAGTAAGTGTTATTTGTTTTTGAGACCTCTAAAAATAAAAAATATCGGGAATTTTATGAAAGAGATGATGTATATAAAACTATGTTTTATTGGGGGCTCGATAAGCTCGTGTAAGCGGATAACTGTGGATAGAATGTGTGTTATAAGGCTTGAAAGGAGGCTTGACCGCCAAGTGATGCGGCTTGACCGTAACAATTTATTGGCAACCCTCATTCATGGAACATCTGTAAGAGCACTGGTAATACCCGTAACGCCCCCTGGCGTGATGGGGCGTTTAACGCCCCGGCGGCGTTAAACACCGCCCCCCTCCGTTGCGGGCACTGCGTCGAAGGAATGACGCGGCGTCATTCCACTCCCTCCCCCTCCCCAACGGCTTTATAGCCGTTACAAAATTTAAAAAAAATTATTTTTTTTCCCTATAAATTCAAACACTCCCCCCTCTCAATCTCTCACACTTTCTCTTCTCAATCTCTTCTTCTTCCCATTTTAAAATTCGAAATTACTTTATTTTTATTCATCATGAATCCTTCCGGCTCCGGCTTCTTTCCCGACGATCTCCCGCCCGTCGACGCCGCGATGTGGTATTACCAATAGTTGGGCGATCGACCGCCGATGTACGAGACGCAACAACCGGGGTACGTTGACCGAGATTCGGTTCCGGAGACTCAACCGGAACCGTCCGGATCGAAAAAAAGTACACGCCGGAGGAGTCACAAAGCCAAAACCACGTTGACCGAGGCGGCACGGTCAATCCAAAAGTGGACGCCGGAGGAGGAGTGCATACTGGCGTCGGCTTGGGTTGACGTCTCCGAGCATCCTATCGTTGGCAAAAAAAATTTTTTTCCAATATATTTATGTTTTTATTTATATATATTATATTTAATGGTGTCTAAAAAAATTGTGTAACACATTTTTAAAGGTAAGGAGCAAACGATCAATGCGATGTGGGATCGTATCGAGGAGAAGTTCTTCACGGCGATGAAGAAGGACGGCTCCTACCGAACCCGTGACCAACTCACTTCCAAATGGGGCCACATCAACAAAAAAGTCCAAAAGTTTATGGGAGTATACGAGGAATGCTCCCGGTCCCGGAGGAGCGGCACGAACGACGCCGATGTTCTCCGGCTTGCCACGACCCGGTATCAAGACGACGGGAACCAAGGCAAGGTGCCCATCGATCTTTGGAGGATTTTGAGTCGTTCCCCGAAGTGGCAACAACTCAACAATCCCGACGGCGGATCGTTCCGGAAAAGATCCACCGTCGACGCCGAGGTTGAGGTCGACGAGACCATTGGTTCTACCGATCAANTACGAGGAATGCTCCCGGTCCCGGAGGAGCGGCACGAACGACGCCGATGTTCTCCGGCTTGCCACGACCCGGTATCAAGACGACGGGAACCAAGGCAAGGTGCCCATCGATCTTTGGAGGATTTTGAGTCGTTCCCCGAAGTGGCAACAACTCAACAATCCCGACGGCGGATCGTTCCGGAAAAGATCCACCGTCGACGCCGAGGTTGAGGTCGACGAGACCATTGGTTCTACCGATCAAATCTCTTCCTTCAACGTTGCGGCTTCCGATGACGAGGACCCCATTCCACGGCCGATCGGAAGAATGAAGGCAAAATCCATTGCCTCTGGTTCGGGAGGGTCCGCCTCTGTTTCCGCTTCTCCCCGCGACGAAATCGGTCTGGCAATGGTTGAACAACTTCGGGCGTTCAATCTCCAAGAACAGGAGAGGTTGAAGCTTAAAGAGAAGGAGTTGAAGCTAAAGGAGCAGGAGGCCGAGATGAAAGTCATGCAAACCGACCCCGGGACGTTGTCGGAGTTTGGACGAATTATCTACGAGCAAAGAATGAGAGAGATCAAGGAGAAATATAATTTTCCTTAGTTTTTTTATTAATGTATCTTTTTTTTAAAATTATTGTCACTTTTTTTATTTAATTAATGTGTTTTTTTATTATTCGTGTTTCAATTTAATTAAATAAAAAATTAAGTACATTTTATTAATTTAATTTTAGAAGATGTATATTTAAAAATATAAAAAATGAAGGTTTGAAGCCCAGTTTTGAAGCCCCGGGGCTTCAAACCCATTTCCAGTGAATTTTGGGTGTCAGTTAAAGCTGACGTGACAGAGAGAAAGTTTGAAGCCCTGGTTTGAAGTCAGGGGCTTCAAACGTATTACCAATGCTCTAATGGGATGGGGGCGTGAAGGAGGTGGCGGTGCCCTCCTCACACCACGATAACACATGATGTAGTCAACCCACTAAAAATACTACAAAGTACTTACTACCTTTATTTTTTAAAAAAATTCTTATCGTTTCAATAATTTCTTAATTTTTTAAATCACCTTTACATAATCTTTCATTTCTACCCGCCTTCACTTTTTTTATCATTTATACTCACTCTTTCACATTCTAACCACAGTAAAATTAAAAAGTTAATACTACTCTAAATTTTGCTTTAATAAAGTCCAACTGCACCTTTTAGTGTGAGATTGAAGGAGTATTGTCATATTGTGCAATAATTTCTTATCAATCCACCTACATATATACTTAATCCAATGCCTTTTTACAACCACTTTAATTTTTTTCCTTATTTAGAACCACCATTGTCATTATGAGATAATTATTTCAATAATGACTCCATTTGGTTGTTATTGTCATTATTATAGTTCTTGTGTCCCAATTAAAAAAGTAGAGAAATTGATAGGTAGTTAGTCATTGCTTTTTGAAATACGAGGTAAGTAGTGCACTTTAAACAAGACTCCGTGGAACCTTAGCAATTGCTCTTTTACTAATTTCAAGTGACTATCATTGATGTTACCATAAAGGAGTTTGGAGGTGGTCCTAAGAGTTTATTGCACCATGAGTCTCTGTGGTTTGATAAATGTGCATCGTTACAGCTCTTATGATTTCAAGACTTACGTCATTGCCTCTTATGGTTCTGATATTGCTACGTCAATGCCCATCTAAACTAAAATTGTTAGAAAAGGCGTGCAACTCTAGAGGGGGGGATGAATAGAGTTGTTGAGAATGTTTACCGATTTTCGCAGGATTAAAAATATCTATCTATACTTAAAAGCAAGGGAATTTAGGCCTAGCTTTTCCCGCCCAAACAACGTGTCATTGTGAACCGTTGATTAGCTTTGACATCTTGATCAATGGTTGATTATTATTATGGATATTTCATTGGAATAGTAATAAAAATCGCTGGATAAAAATGGTAAGAATAAAAATCAGTAGAGAAACATAAGTGCATCTACAACAAAAAAAAGAAAAAAGGAAACACATTTATTAAATATGGACCGTGTGTTTTATGAGAAAAAAAAAGGAAAATGCATAAGGTTCCCTGTGTATTCTATTTAAAAAAAGGAAAGCTTTACTTTTGGTAAAATCCGTGTGTATTTAATAAAGAGTTTGAGAAAAAGGAAAAAATTAATAAAATAGATGAAGCGTGTGTAATGTTAAAAAAAGGGAATAAAAGGAAACACATTTAAAGAATTGAGTGATATAAAAAAGTAAAGATGTTGATTTTAAAAAAATGTTATTTGATCTACGGTTCTTATGCATTACCAAATATCAAATTGTCTAATTATGCTAATATTGAAAAAAGGCACAATTAACAACAAATGCTCCGTGGATTATTAAAAGGAAAAGAACTAAGAAAGAAAAGTAGCAGCTCTTAAGTAATAATAATATGGGATCTATGTTTAAGGTAAGATTTAAGAAAAGAAAAAGATGTAAAACCTGTAGTTAAATAAATAAAATGAAGAAATTAAAAAAAGGGGAAAAAAATTAAGTGAGGAAACATTTAAATTATTTTTTAAACTTGGGTAGAAACTAAAAATTAATAGATGATAGAAATCTACAGGTGGAGCAAATATTTATACTACCTTTGTTTCTAAGTATTAGTCTAATTTTGACTTTTTCGGTCTACTGTTTTCAATCTTTGACATATAATTAAATAAATTATACATTGTATTTTATTTAAATAAAATATATATTGAAAATATTTGATATAATAAATCTAATAAAACTCTTTTTGTATCAATATCTAATATCATTTTTATTTAATTTGAGGTCAAATTTTACCAATTTTGACCAATTTTGTAACAATATCTAATATCAATTTTGTATCATGTTTCCATTTATTTTTATTTAATTTGAGGTCAAAGTTTACCAATTTTGTTTATTAATTTTAGAAATGGGACGATTTAATACCACATAATATTTCATGATGAATTAGTATGCCGCATTAATTCCAATACGGGAGAGTTAATTGTGATACCTTAAATAGAATTTATTAAATTGGTAGTTTACGAAGAAGAAGGACAACCGTAGATCTAATGAAATCAATGGTGCTAAATGAATGTGCTTTGGGCGGGAAAAGCTTGAGGCAGAATTCCCCTGCTTTTAAGCTTGGGACTTTGACCATGTGCAATTATTTATGTTCCCATTATAGTTTATCATGAGTATAATTTGTAACATAAATTACGTTAATGAATAGAGTATACTATAAATGTAAGAATAAATAAAAATAAATGGAAACATGTAAAATTGTGACCGTGTAAAATGTACTACGTGAATGGTAATGTAACTAATGACTAAAAATGTCAGGATCATTAATAACCATATAACATGTGGCCTTATTAAATGGTACCATTAATAATAATAATAATAGTCCGAAATTAAATGTTAATTTTGCTGCACGGTACTTGGAGGAATACAATAATGGTTAATAAATAAGTATTCTAATTAAATGGAGTGTTCTAAATAAAATGGGGATGAATACGGTAATGGTAAGTAGATAAATATTCTAAATAAATGGAGAGTTCTAAATAAAATGGTAAGTTTTGATACAACATGGTACATGGAGGATTACGGTAATGGTAAGTAAATAAATGTTCTAAATAAATGGAGTGTTCTAAATAAAAATAAAAAAATATTAGAGTCACAAATAAATAACCCATAAACTTCCCAAATTTGTCTTTTGTGACTCTAGCATTACTCAAATAAAATAGTAAATAAATAAATGTTAAATGAAGAATTATAATAAAATAGTAAATAAATAAATGTTACATGAAGAATTATAATAGTTAGTGTAAAAAACATAAAAGGTAACCAAAAGCTGTTAGGAACGTAAATATTATTGTACATTTATTATTAATTACCATACATAATGTCATTATTTATAATGAAAATTTTTGCACGTCTATTTCCTTTTCAAATCCCTTCTAGCATGTATAAATGAGTAATGCTAGGTTCACAAACAAAATATTCACAAACTTCACAAACTTACTATTTGTGGTTTAAAATTTCAATTTAAAATCATTTTAGACCATTTAATTTTTTTCATTGAAGTTCACAAATAGTAAGTTTGTAATGTTTGTGACCAGTATGTTTATTTGCTCCACCTGTGTATTTCTATCATCTATTAATTTTTAGTTTCTACCCAAGTTTAAAAATAATTTTAGTACTAAAGTTTTAAAATTCATTTCATATGTAGAATTGTCACAATTATTTAGATTGAAATAATATAATATGTGATTCAACTTTAAAGATTATTTGTAAATCATAAAAATGATCCAAATTTTAAATGGCTACAATTTTCAAATGCAATCAATAAAATTTATATACTGCATTTCTTATTTAATGTATTTGTTTGTAAATTCTAACCCAATGTAATTGTTCAAATTGGTAATATGCAAAGTTCTTAGTTTTAAGTTTATATTTTTTAATTACTATATATTTGTATTTGGGCAAGTAATTTATGCATATTTTTACTACATTACGTACTAAGTACTACATAAATTTTATTGTGTACCTATTAACTGTAGTGCTAATGTCGGGTTTTTTAATAGCGATAACAATGTAGTTCACAAAAAATCAAACGTCAAATTTCTTTAAATTTTATATTTTGATTTAATAACCTATTTGTTGTTAATTTTACTTTTTAAATAATAAAGTGATGAGTAATGCTAGAGTCACAAACAAACAACTCACAAAATTCACAAACTTGCCTTTTTAACATTTTCCTAGAAATAAGATGCTCCCAAATAATAAAAGTATTTTAATTTAAAATCCACAAAAGGAAAGTTTGTGAAGTTTGTGAACTATTTGTTTGTGACTCTAGCATTTTCCTAAAGTGATTAAATAATTTAATATTAAAAATATTAGCCGTGCAACGCACGGGAGTGATACTAGTAAACGTAAGTGCAGCGGAAATAAAAGAGAAAAGACAAAGAACACACTGATGTATACTGGTTCACCACCTCGTGGCTAGTCCAGTTCCCCGAGAGACTCTCTCGAAGCTACCACTACTTCCGTTAAGCTTATGGGTGCTTAACAAACTGTTTACAAACCGAGAACTTGAATCCCACAAGCCTCGACACAACCGCTCGTAGATATGCCCTCTACAAGACTTCACACCCAAAACTTAAGTCACATAAGTCTTATACAATAAGAAGAACAATCTTCTTCAGCCTCATAACAAAAACTCTCACAAGAGTAGAAATGAGAAAAGATTAAGCTCTATGGATGACAAGAACACTCTCTTGAAAACACTTAGTTTTCTCTCAAAATATATCAATTTGAGGAAGAAATGAATGGAGGATTATAACCTCAAGATATGAGAGTTTAGGAGTGCTTGTTCTTAAGAAAAATGACCAAGGAAGAGTGTTTAAATAGGAGTTGAAGAAATATATCCGTTGGTCCAAGAAAAGAAGCTGTGCAGAAAAGATGCAGCATAATAATCGATTAATGCAGTGTCAGTAATCGATTAATGCATCATCCTCAGCGATTAATGCAGTCTGCGCAAAATGATAATCGATTAAGGCCAGAGCAAGTAATCGATTAGAGTGCTCTGAGTAAGTTAATCGATTAACAGGAGAAAAATAATCGATTAGATCAAAGTAGCACAACACAAAGTAAAACTCAATTAATCGATTAATCAAAAGAGTTTAATCGATTAATCAAAACAAAAACTGGGTAAATCGATTAAGGCAAGAATATTAATCGATTAGTTTTGAAATGATGCGCAAACACAAGGGGCCCAAGCCAGTTGCTATTGAGAACAGAATTGGCGTAACACTCGTTGTTTGAGACAACGGGAATCAGAGAAAGCTCCTCCTCTCTTATTCAATGAATTTGAATAAGGGAGTAAAAGTGAGTCCAAAAATTATTTTGTGTGTCAAACGATGTACACAAAAAATATTTGAATAAAATATTTTTGCTTACCAAAATTATTTTATAATATCAAAATAAATATTTGATAAATGTTTGGCACACCTTTTGTGACTGACTCAATAAAACTATTTTGAACAATTAAAAAGATTTTTCAACTGACTCCAAAAATAAATATAATTTTTATTTTAACTCTCATAAAAATAATTTTGGAGAGAAGATATTTTTGTCATCCTTACAAATGTTCCTACGACTCAAATAAATAAAAAGTCTTCAGAAATCTTCTACTCCTCCGAGTCCTCCGTTAGGCGCTCCGAACGCGTCTCGAACTCCAAAAAATCTTGTGCACCTTCTTGAATACTTCAAGGAATGGCACTTCAAGTCTTCGTGTTTGTCGTTGTAGCACTTTGATCTTGACTTGAATAAATTGTGTTTGTCAATTATCAAAACCTGTGAGTCAACACTTAACAACACAGAAAGGGTTGAACTCATGCATTCCAACAAAAATATCTTTCAAATATTATGTGAATAATTTCACTGCCCCCTATGGTTTTGAAAATTGGCACAAATGCTTCCTCTTTTTAATGTTTTTTTCTACTACTACTTTTTCATAAATGTTTTTTTAATTTCTTTTTAAAAAGTATTTTTAATAATATTTTCTTAATCAATTTTTTTTTGTATTTGCAATAAAAATTAATTAAATAAAAAGAATTAACGTACACTCCATTTGTTTCAAATTATATATTTTTCATTTTTTCCAAAAGAGGTCTTTATTGGTTCATTTTCATAAAGGACAATCAATAAAATATTCTCTCTTTTTTTCTCTAAAGCTCATTTCTCATTTTATATTCATTAATTTTATACTATTATTTTAATCAAAATTAAAATAAAATAAAAAATAATAGAAAAGAAAATAAAGAAAACCAAAAGTATATGAAAAATACTTTTATAGAATAGGGTAAATTAAGTCACCCATGAAGGAAATCTTTGGCGCATTGGTCAAAAAATATTATTAATATATAATTAACTATATATTAAAAGGACGTTACCCAATATTCTTTTGGTCCCGACATATTTAAAAAGATAAAAAGACTTTTTTAGACAAAAAACGGATATATTTGATTTGACAAATGAAGTATTTGTTAAATTTTTTATTTCACTTTTTATCTTAAATACAAACATTTTTCATTTTTTATAAATTTTTTAAAAATGTAGGGTTGAAAAAACAAATTTTCATTATTTCACACACAAACATTTTTCTTATTTTTATGAAAAAAGAAAAGAAAAAAAGTAAAGAAAAAGGAGATAGAGCATTGGCGCCCATTTCTAAAACTTTAGGGAACAGAATTATTCACCTAATATTTGAAGGATATTTTTTGTCCAAATGAGTATTGGCGACTTGACGTAACAATATCAGAACCATGAAGGACAACGACGTAAGTTGTGAAACAATGGGCAGTAACGGTGCTCATTTACCATAGCACAAGGAGAGTTAGTGCAATAAACTCGTTGTCATAAAAAACAAAAATAGAATATGGAGTATAATTTAAAGGATGGGTAATATGCAATTAAGCATAAATAAAATGAAATAAATTTATCCCACTCATAAAAATTGTCTCAATGTACTATTTACAAGTGATCGAAACCCTTTCTTCTTTTTTAAAATAATACTCCGTATAGTTTTGTCAATCTTGTCTTGTACAGTTTTTTGCTATAACTTTTTAAGATAATAAAATTGATATTTCTAACCCCTTGCCTCCCATGCGCCCACTCTAGACCCTCATCTTCCTTCCTCACCCCCCGCCAAACCGGCGATCTAGGAGATCACTGGGATGAGGTGTGGGGAGGTAGGGGGATTCGGAGGAGTAACCATCAATTTTACCAATGAAGCACCGTAGGTGCCCCGGTTATAATATGACCCGGACACCCAAGGTCAAAGATCCTTGCCCAAAATATAAATGTTATTTTAAAATTATGTGTAACTGTTTAAATAGATTGAATTAAAAATAAATCCAGCCAAATTCCATTGTCTATTGCGAGTTTTCCATTCAAAGGCAATTGAACATCAAACATAAAGAGAATATACAAATGATGATTCTGCAGCTTGCAACATTTCAGATTGTGTTTGGGATTCCACAGACATTGGCAGGCAAGGAAGAACAGGTTAAAGCTAAAATGACAACTAATGAGAGTACATTTTTGGTCTTCACTAAAACCAACCAAACACAGCCCTAACAATCAGTTTACCCGGCGTTCGACACCCCCCACTCCCCCTGCTTCACCACATTGCCATCCAAAGGCACCGCCACCGTGGCCCCCACACCCCTCGGTCTCTTCTTCATCGCCGCCAGTGAGGCGGTCATGTCCGGTAACAATGGGACCCGAAAGATTGGGTAAGAAGAATCATCGGATACCTTTATGGACAGTTCGGACAGCTCTTCGCGGGCTGATTCTAATCCATCTGAGGCAACAACAGCTTGGGTGCTCAGTGTTTTGCAAGCTTTCTCAAGAATTGATTGCAAGTACTTGCTTTGTGCCTCTATGCGAAGCTGGAGACGACGTTGAACCTATTATTATTTATAAAATTATGAAAATCCAACCTAAAACCAATTGACAGTAAGAAGAGTAACTTTATCCATACATTGGAAAATGAATGAATGTAGACATACAGTATGTCTACATTCATTTATTTTTCAATGTATCTGAAAAGTCATAATGATCCGTTAATATGGAATGGAGGGAGTAGTCGATGTGGGATTATATCCTTAACATTATCTTACATTTCAGCCAAAATTTATCCCTACCAAGCAAGTTCTAAGTGTAAAAAGCCAATACAAACACAAATATGTGTAATGCTAGCAAGACATATGAATGGATGGAGGTAAAAACTAACAACAAACCTCTAACTGCTCGTGCAACTTTCGCTGAACTTCCATCTGTGCTCGCAATGCCTCAGTAACTTGGTACCCACTGTTTAAAAAAAAGATTTGTTATGATATTATTAAGTCTATAGTTTTCTACTTCTAAAAACATATGAATATCTTTTTTTTTATTTTTTTAGTAGAAAATATTTGTTTACTCGTTTGGTTCTTGGGAAACCATTCTAGATGAGCCCGACGTAGGGGAACTGGTTTCTTGACTCTCGGATGCACATGCTGCTGCAATAACAGAAAATGTATGTATTAAAAATCAATGAGAATGAAAGCCGTTGTCCTTTTCTAGTTTGATGGAATTCAAATTGAAGAATGAAGATCAAGAAAAGTATCTATTTTTGGTGCCATGACTATTTGGTCATTTCCATTTATGGTCTCTGTTTATCTTTTCTTCCAAATTTTGGCTCAAAAAATGGTTCTTTTGTCATTTTTTCTCTTTTCTGATCACTTATCCGGCGAAAATCAACCAAAAACTGGACGGGTAAGTGATCCGAATGACCAAAGTGGCAAGAGACTCATAGGTGTGCACCAAAAGTGAAAGTGAGGGGCAAAAGGTGGAAACTTTTCTAAAGATCAATACCATCTTTAGAGTTTTCAGCTGCCTCCTTCGCGGATTGCTTCCCCAAACGGTATTTCTGATAAAAAGAAATGAAATGTTAGAATTTCCAAGACTAAATTGGTGGAACAAGATGTCTAATATGTCCCGTAGACCAAAAGTGTTGGAGAAAGTAAGGCAAACCTGAAGGTGTGACTTCAGATGATATAGGGTCAGGCCTTTCACCCCCATTGTCCTCATTATTGACTTTGGCGTTGCTTCTGCAAAGTTTAAGTGACAAAAATCATTGGAATTAGTCTCTTGGGCCAATAAATTTCAGGGAGAAAACGGTACGAGAATAGTAAGCATGACAATAGCATAGTATGACAGCAACCGTTTAACTTAATGCGGCTGTTATAAGAGCGCCATGGCTTAAACATTAAGTCTGTTTTGTTTTTGTTAGGTTAATTTAGTACGTTAATCCACAACTCTAATTTCATGTTTGAAAATTGCAGAGAGTGACACTCCAAGCATTACATGATTATGTTCTGCAAGATCAATGAACTTCACCGAAACTCAAAACGCACCCAAATTGCCAGAGAGAAACAAATGAAACAACAAATTTGTAAAAGTTAGCAAAATCTTGAACACACAAATACTAACACTAATAGGTCTTTAATCTTTAGGTTTCAACATATGAAGCCAATTTTGGCGCCAGCGTAATCCATTATAACTACCCCTAGTAACACAATACATTGAACACCTAGATATGTATATAGAAATTAAGATTACAATCCACAACTATATGAAACCTTTTGAACAATGTTATGATGCTGAATTGGGGAAGAGCAAACAGTACCCAAGGATTGAAAGTTCATATGACCTTCATAAACAGCATAAAAAGGTAATCTCAAGACAAAAAGACCCAAGTTCATCATATCCCTTCATGAAGCAAGCCAAGAAAACCCAAACATACAACGAAATCCGGGGAGAAAATAATTGCAGACCTTATTCCTACTTCAAGGAGAAGTTCTGGGCTGATTTTATACTTTACATGAATCATTATTTGGTGGATTAAATGGACTGAGATCTACTTGGTAAACCATTACCAGTTACAGAAGGAAGAGATGGGAAAATGGATCTTTTTCAATGGACAAAATTTTTCATTTTCTTGCACAACTCACTAAAAAAACAGTTCAAATAATTGACTGGCAGCATATCACTTTCAACTCAGCCCCCAATAATAACATTAATTAATAGAGGGAGAGGGCACATCATGTTTGCCTGGAGATTGAAAAAGACCCCTTCATTTATTGCGATTCAAAGGTTGTCTTTGCCTAATCATAAGAAGCAACATTATTAAATTTTACTAAAAGTGAAACCAAATTCTTTTTATTAAAAAGAATTCATTCGGGGTAATGATAAAATCTTTAATTTTCTGTCCAGACGCGAAAAGACAAAAGAAATCAAGAAAAGCAAAGGGATTTTACAGCAGCAGAATCCAAGATCCCAGCTTTCATGAGGAGAAGAAAGAAGATAAATCCCAACAAAAAGGAAATCTTTTTTTGGTATTATCTAAAAAGGAAAAAAGCAGAAATTAATCAAAGAGCGAGAACTAACTGTCGGGTCCGCCGAGCTGTGTGACGGCGTCGACGAAGCGGTCGTGCAGCTCGGCAGTCCAGCGGAGGCGGGGCTTGGGGTCGGCGGTGAGAACAAGACAGGCATCTCCGGGAAGGTTGGTTCCGTCCAAGGACATGACGGCCTGGTGGTGGTTGTGGTGGTGGTGGTGGTGGTGGTGGTGGTGGGTAAAGTCGCCGCCGTCGAGACCCAGACCCCGGAGGGAGTACATTTTATTCCGACCCGGAAATAGTCGGGTTGGGTAACGTGAAACTGGAAAGGGGAGGCTGAGCGCTACCTGTTTCGAGGCTTGTTTTTGTGTCTTTTCGGGTTATATATGAGAGGAGAGGAGAGGAGCAGCAGAAGTAGGAAGAGAAGAAAGACAAGACAGCGATGTGTTGTTGTCTAGTGTAGGAGAGAGTGAGGAAGACTTGTCTCTTTTCCCTTCATCTTTAAATGCATAAAGTTCTTCTTTTTTATAATTAATACTTTTTTTCTTTTTGTATTGGGAAAATTTTAAAAATTGCTTTTAACATTTGAAAAAAAGGGTAATGGTACACCACACAAACACATACACTTAGGACATTTACAGCGAAGCAACTTCCGCCTTTCCACACAATTGTCAAGAAAGAATCGCGGCTCGTCCGCCGCTGCAACTCTTTCGCCGCGCCCCCAGTGGCGGATCCAGGAATCACAAGAACGGGGGGCGAGACTACTACGGGGGTTCGGGGGAAGCGCTTCTATTTTTTCTTTAAAATAGCAATGTGAACTATAAAAAAAGATTATTTTTACTCATTAACACATTCAGATAATTAATGAAAAATCTAAAAAATATTTCCTATAATTTTATTTGCTCTAAATAATTTTTAATTTTGGCTCAATTAAATTTTAAATATTTTATTTTTAATAGTAGATATTTAATTTTTTACTTAAAATTTATTTTTATTATGGGCATTTTATTTTTTTCAATGGGGGCATAACTTTTTTTAAAGAAAAATTAGGGTATTACTATAGCAAATTTTGAAATTCATTGGGGGCAATTGCCCCCATTAGCTTACACTTAGATCCGCCCATGTGCGCCCCTCACCCCAACCACGATGCAAAGCCGTGTTGGATTCGCGGCGGCCACCCACTGCAAGCGGTCTGTCACGCCGGGATTTAATTTTTTTTTCATTTTTTTCTTTTAACCCTATAAATTCGACACATCTTCTACTTCAATCCATACAATTTCATCTCTGTCAACTTACCTACTTAGCTTTCTTAATTTTTCTTCATCTCTCTCAAATAAAAAATTAAATCCTCCTTCAACAGATGATGAGGTCGTAAATATGCTAACTGTGGCATACCTTGAGGATTTGCCTTACGTAGTTACGTCCAAGCGGAGATGAAATTAATCTCCACTATTCATTGTTGAGTAATATAATAGAGGTATGGACTTAGAAAGCATTTAGTCAATCTTTTAAACATATTCTTGTAATTCTATTATTACTTTATTGGTGTGGTTTCGTTGACACTCACTTTTAAGTGTCAACAGATGAACCACTCATAGGGATGGTTGTTTCTACCTTTCTTAGCCTTCTTAATCCCCCCCTCTTTGCATATTAGAGATTTATACTCTTGTACTCTCCCTAGTAGCTTAATTCTTAAGTGTTTATCTCAACTTCATAAGGTAAAAAATTTTGAGCTTTTCAACAATAATTTCGTAAAGTTGACACTGGTCTTACGATGACATTGCTCATTTAGGACACCTATAATGATTTGGATCTTCCAACCCTCTTCGTTCTCAGGATACTCAATCACTTAGGTGTGTTTAGTTAGGGCAAGAGTATTTTCCTTAAAAATTTTAGATTTACTATTTCACGTTTGGTAACATAAGTGGTAAATAAATATTTTTCAATAAAAAATATTTGTCCCCATCAAGGAGAAAATATTTTCTGTTTATTTTTGAAGAAAATCTTACTCACTCCCTATCCTTTCCTCCATCCACCACTACGGCTCTGCCACTCCATGCCTCATCCCTCCTACCCTGCACCAACCCCTTGCACCAGCCACCCATACCACCTCTCCCTTCTTCCCTAACACCCCCTCACCCCCCACTACATCACCCCTTGCGCCTTTGCCCTCTCCTACCCTGCTACCCCCATTCCACACCCACCCCGCATGTTCACCCCCACCCCAACCCCCTTCCCGTTATCCCCCACCCACTATCTATTGGTGATTTTAGTAGCATTGGCTATTTTGTGTAATTGGATTAACTTAAGATCGGATAGGAATTTTAATAGATGTTGTTAACGAGTTAGGAGGTGCGGAGTGCACACTCGTTCAACGATATTAGAAATTCCACAGTGGGAGTTCGGGGGCGGTAGCACCCAGTAACGGGGTCTAAAGTGCGGCAGCTCCTGGCGGGGTCCAAGTGGCCCGATAACTCGTTCTATGACTAGTGGTAGTACATAGCAAAATAAAAAGTGGGGAGATGTGTACGGAGGAACAACTAGTCATTGCGCACTGGTTATTTGTTCAAGTAAATGTCACTGTCACTTTACATTGTTCAAACTAAATGTCCACCATCACTAGACATTATTCTCGATACTAGACATTATTCAATTACAATTTTGGGAATAAAAATGTTTAAATATTATATTGGAAAATGATATATATTTCAGTAATATTTACTACAAATTTCACTTAAAAGGGATGAACTCCATCTCTAGGGTTTCTCAGACTCCACGAGACGGTCACTTTAACATTCAGTTTTAATATTTTGATTATATTTGTTAATAATTTTGTTAATTTTAACATTTTTAAAATTAATTTACACTTTAAAAAAATTATTGAAAATGATAAGATTAATTAAAATGATGTGTGTTTTTATGTTTGGTTTAGTTGAGTTGGTCTCAAACTTGGAAGTGTTTTATTGTAATGTACTTTTGATGGAAAACATTGTTGGTGATAATGTCATCGACTATTTTATATAATTTGATTAACTTAGAATGAATAAAAATTTGAATAGGCGTTGCTAAGAAGTTCAAAAGTATGGAGTAGACACTCATTAAATGATACTCCCTCCGTCCTAAACCTTTCTTCCCAGAGCACTATTCCAACTTCACGGGAATTTATATTTATTTGTGTTTTTTCATGGCTTATATGATAAAATAAAATATTCTTGTCACCACTTGTTTTGTTGAACTTTTGATGTAGTTTTTAAATATGTATGTTTTATTTTTTATTTCTATACCAATATTTAAATAAAATAGATTGAAAAAACTTGGGATTTTTCTTCGTTTTGCGAACCGGGAAGAAAGATATAGGACGGAGGGAGTATTATAAATTCCATAAGGGGATTTCGGGGGCGGCAGCCCTGACTAAGTCCAAGGGGTAGAGCCCTTGGCTGGGGTTGAAGTTGTATTTTGGGCATATATAGTTTTTTTATGAAAAACTTTTGAATTTTTATATGTAAACGGGATTCAAAATCATGTACATTCGAATGTAATATTTATCTCTAGCATCTATAATGAAAAGGCCTGGTACATTGAAATATTTGATCCCATACATTTGAATGTGTTGGAGATAGATGCAAAAATTTCCATAAATCTGTAGAAATGATCGTTTTTATATTAACCGCTATATACATTGGTATGTTTGAATGAAAACATTTGAATGTTACACGAAAAATTGTATTGTTTCATCAATCAATTCATCATGCCTATTCGGACTTTGCCCTATAAATTGATCGCTCAATGTATGTTTTGACATATACAAGAACATCCATATTCATCCAAGGTATGTTTTGACATACTCCCTTCATTCTATATTTATTGTATGTCTAATTTTTAATATACTTTCATGATATATTTAAAGATGATTGAATATAGACATATAGTATGTCTGTACATATTCATTCATTTTTAATGTATCTTGAAAAACATAACATATACGGAGTAATAAATATATAATTGAGGGAGTAGTTTTAAAAAGAAAAAATAAGAAAATAATAATAATCACTCCATTTGATTTTTGTTTGTCAACACTTTATTTGAATCTAGTTTTTCAATTTTTAAAAGAATTTAACTATGTACCAGAGTAGAAAGTAAAAAAAACAAACGAATTGAATCCTAAAAATGAGCATTATGTCCAAACAAGTCTTAGATTGTTTTTTCTTACAATCATTCCATCTTAATTAACAATAAGTCAAATTAGCAATTTTTGTTGAGTCAAACATCAGATTGATGAACTTCTCCCCTGGCTTGAGTGATAGCAAGCCCACTCCCCAGGATTCATGGGGAAGTTCACCCAGGTTCGAGCCCCAGCAAAGGCAGCAGCATTGGCTCTTTGTGCGTCATTAGTCATTAGCTTGAAAATAGTATGAACAGATACTACCTTGTAATAGAGTCAATAGCATTCAAAAAAAAAACATCAGATTGATAAACAACCTAAGAGTCTTTTGAGCCAAAAAAGAACCCAAAATTATTTTTTCATTCATTTGAAATTGACCTTACATTTTTCTTATTTTCTTGTAAGATAATAAATATATGGCTCAGATCACTTTTCTTTCATCTAAATAAATTATAACTGTTTAAATTTTCAATTGTTTCTTAAACTTTAATTTATAAGTCAAATTAAAATTTTTAGTTCGAGACAAAAAAATAAAATAAATTTAGAGGATGGTCCGTTAAATCCCAAAATTCCAAGGGATCTCTTTATGATTATACGATTGAATTTTTGTACGGGTACATTATTAATTCGTGCGATTCCCCCACTAATTACAACATTTACAATATTTCAATAACAAAGCAAAAAAAGTAATGATTAAAACATTATTGTTAATTTCTTCTTATCAATCATTTCGGCAAATTGGTTTTAAAAATCTAGGTGCTTACACAAATTGAAGGAACCAAACGGCCACTAGTGTGTCTTCCATGCGATGAGAATATAAGGGAAAAACTTAGAGATACACCAAGTTACTATGAGGCTGTTTGGAAACTTCTGAATCGGTAAGTGCTGAATCAGTAAGAGGTCTGAACCATTAAGTGCTGAACTAGTAAGAGGTCTGAACCATTAAGAGCTAGTATATTGCTTAACTATTCAGAGGCAAATGTCTGATCAATTCAGATAAGAGGTCTTAACCATTCAGACTCTGTATAATACTTAACCATTCAGAGGCAAATCTCTTAACCATTCAGACATCTGAACCATTAAGAGGTTGAAATAAACAGTCTGAACCATTAAGTGCTGAACCATTCAAACATCTGAACCATTAAGAGGCTGAAACAAACAGCCCCTATATCTGAACTCTTTATTGTCTGTGTAAGTATTTGTAAGAAGCTGATGTATGCTAATTTGGGTACACATAGCAAATCCCAAATATAAAAGATTATGTATGTCATGTTTTTCTCAATTTATTTTTTACCAGATTAGATCAGATCAGAAATAACTTTGAAGATAATTACATTCAGATCAAATCAAAGGGTTAGAGTATTTGAAATCAATAGTTTGAAATATGATATAAAAAGCAAGAAATATGGAGTCTAAAGAGGTATTTCTCTGTGTTAGTGCTTATTGACTTTTTGCTACCTGATAAACAATTTTTAACTAATAAGTTAGTTAAAAGTTAAATATTTTTTCGTGGAACCTAGTTATCCCCAGAAATAAGGTCACTTGGGCTAGCTTTGTATGGAATAGGTTAACACAACCTAAGCATCATTTTCTAGCTTGGTTAACCAGACTTGTTTGGTAGTTTGTTTATTGACTCTTGTATAAGTATGGCTGTTTTTGGTGAATATATTTGTGCTTTCGATTAAAAAAATTATGTCAAAAATCCTACAAAATTAGATGTGATATAAATATTTTATTTTATTAAATACGGAGTAATCAATAACACACAAATAAATAAAAAATTTCTTAATCTTTAAAGGGTGGAGAGTGTAATTCTTTGTTATACTCAGGGAGTAATAATAATCAAGAGTAAACGACCAACATATGTAGAAAATTAATTAGCCATTCCTGGCAGTGCATGTCAGTGATTTTTTTCCTGGTAGTGCAACACGGATTTGGTTAATCCGTTTTGGTCTGAAATATTAAATGAAACGGAGAAGCTAAATCCGTTTCATGTATTTTGTTTCCCATACGCATTACCTTACTCCGTTTTGATTTAAAAAAAAATTGAACCCCATACGGAGTAGCCAAATCCGTTTCGGCGAAATTAATATCAGACGGATTAGGCTACTCCGTCTCTTTATTCGGATAACTTCCCCTCCCCTTCCGTCGTCCACCCATTCCACTTCCTCCCCAGCCGAGATCCGCCGCCCGCAGCTTCCCCATTCCAGATCCGCAGCACCTGGCCGAAGGAAGAACAGAAGAAATCCGACGAGGGAGGCGATTCGGATTAGCCTACTCCGTTTCATGGAGGTATTTTTTTGTTTTTTATTTAATTTTTATAAATATTTATCATTTTATGATAATATTTAGATATGATTTTGATATTGTAATTGATATATATTTAGATTGGGAAGGGTCGTACAATAAGTTGGCTCCCTTGCTCAGTGCAATTATGGGGTCAAACCATGGAACTGTTGTTGATTTACAAACAATGTCAACTGATTCACCAACTTCTTTTCAGTTCAAGTATGTATTCTGGTTCTTTAGGGCATCCATAGATGGATTTCACTATTGTCTTCCTGTTATTTCAGTAGATGGAACTCACTTATACGGCAAGTATAAGGGATGTTTATTACTTGCAATGGCAACAACGGGAAATGGTGAAATTTTTCCCCTTGCTTTTTCCATTGTTGATGCTGAAGATGGTCCAAGTTGGAAATGGTTCTTGACGAATGTCATGCGTCATGTCGTTCCCCCACATCGTCGTGTATGCATAATATGTGATAGACACAGTGGGATTGAGCATGCATTTGAAAATGTCCCAGAGTTAGGTGGAGGTCGAGTGACTCGAAGATATTGTCTCCGCCACCTACGCAGCAATTTCTGGAATAAGTTCCGAAGTAAGAAGTTGCGGACCTTGATGTACAAAGCTGGTAAAGCCCCGAATCGAAGTGAGTTTGACCAGTTGCTACTCTAAATAGCATCCAAAAATCAAGAAGCCTACAACTGGCTTAATGCCATTCCAGAACACAAGTGGGCTTTGTCACATGATGAAGGTGGGTCACGTTATGGTATAATGACTACAAATTTCTCAGAAAGTTTCAATCATGTCCTTAAAGGATGTCGTTGTTTGTCAGTATATGCCATTGTGATGTTCACCTATGATAAGCTGGTCAAACTTTTCGCTGAGAGGCGAACCAATGGGTATGTATGGCAGCAATCCGGGTACAATTTTCCTATGAATGTGTGGAAACATATTAGGAAAAATGAAGAAAATAGGCTGTATTGTCGTGTTGTGCAGCACCACGCACAACAAGGGATATACTCTGTGATGGTGGATGAGTCGTCCTACATTGCTCAACGGGAGACATTTACGGTGAACTTGGGGATGGCAATTCAACCCGAACCCGAGCTTAACCGACCCGACCGACTACTAAAATATCCAAACCCGAACCGAAAATAAAATAATCCGAACCCGACCCGAAATTTTTTACCCAAACCCGACATCGGGTCGGGTCGGGTGTGGATTTATAATTTTGCCCGACCCGACTCGAACCCGCACCCGACCCGACTAAAACCCGAATATTTTATTACATAAAAGTCTATCTATGGATATAATGAGCACTTCGTATAATCTCGTGACAAAGTGCTACTATATCAAATATGCCTTTTATAATCATTTTTATAATCCCTTAATAAAAAAAGGAGACATAAAAAAAGAGAAACAAAAAAATTAGATTTACTCTTTTCAAAATTATTGGGGTACGTCGAATTGATTATTGGTTAAAAGTTGGGTTCAGGTCGGGTTCGGGTTTCAGGTTGAAATGTCGGGTTCGGGTCGGGTCGGATTTTTGGCTTTAAAGGTCGGGTTTCGGGTCGGGTTCGGGTTTCGGTTTTAAAAGTCGGGTCGGGTTCGGGTATAGTACTATCCGACCCGAACCCGACCCGTTGCCATCCCTAGGTGAACTTAAATGCACGAACATGTAGCTGTGGTCAATGGGTAACATTTCACCTCCCGTGCAATCATGTCCACGCAGTATGTCATTTTTGTAATGTCAACGTGGATCATTTGATTCCAAATATTTTTTCAATTCAGTCCTACATCAATGCTTACTCTGGCATCATAATGCCGCTACCGGATGAGTCTCAATGGCCTACTCCAGAGTACGAGATCTTGAGGCCAACACCACGACAGACCACACGAACCGGCCGACGTACGAGAACCCGCTATCCGAATAACATGGACTATCGACCACGGAGACATCGTAATGAGGAATAGCTTTGTCATGAATTTCAATTATGTCTTAGTTTATGTATTATTAAATTTTACAAATAATTTAGTCATGGATTGGGTTTTGACTTCTTCTTTTTTATGAATAAATTGTTATATGTACTCTAGTAATAAAATTATTGTGTTTTTGTCTTGTTCTTTTAATATCGTTATATAAAAATTTTAAAATATAATATTTTAATAAAATAAAGTTAGAAAAATTAAAAAAACTTCATAAAAATAGATTTAATTTGTTAAAAAGGTTTATAAAATAGGAGATAAAATAACTAAAAAAATTTAAAAGGGAAAACAATTGGAACAAATCAACAAATCAGCTTTTAAAGAAAATTACAAAAAAAAATATATGTGAACGGATTAGGCTAATCCGTTTGGTAATTAAATAAGTGGAACGGATTAGCCTAATCCGTTTGGTTAAATAATCTGCATCAAAACGGAGTAGGCAAATCCGGTTGGTATTTTGGCGGAAAGTACACTTCTAAATTACATATAAAGGAATAAGATGCAGCATTTTTACACAAACAGGGAAATCTCCCTAATAATCAATCAAACCTACGGAGTATTAATTAAAAGTCACTTTTGGTGATGATGCAATTTTCTCACTCCCTAATTATGAAGAGGAAGGTTCTAATACCTTTGTAATTTGGGAAGTAGGCTAACACCTTCCATTTTTTACAAACTTGTAAGAGGCATGTGATTTTAAAATATTGCACCTATAGTAAAACTTAGGTGTTTGTACTTTCTGTTTCAGGAGTGTGACTTAAGTTTGTACTCCCACCGTCCCGGAAAATTTTTCTAGATTTTGACTTTTGGGAAGGGAAGATATACAAGTATAATCAAGGTGAAACGATGATAGTTGAAACAAGTTGAGCTCGAGAAATATCTAAACGGGTAGAACGTAGAAGGTAGTTGAGATACGTTGAGTTAAATTTAATAAAAGTAAGGGCAATTGTATTCATTTAAACGAAATTGAAATGTGTTATGGACAAATAAAGAGTAAAAATTGAAATATTTAAGGAACGTATGGAGTATTAATTAAAATACTAAGGGGCTATTTGGCAACTTCTGAATGGGTAAGTGCTGAACCAGTAAGAGGTCTGAACCATTAAGTGCTGAACCAGTAAGAGGTCTGAACCATTAAGAGCTAGTATATTGCTTAACTATTCAGAGGCAAATGTCTGATCAATTCAGATAAGAGCTCTTAACCATTCAGACTTTGTATAATACTTAACCATTCAGAGGCAAATCTCTTAACCATTCAGACATCTGAACCATTAAGAGGCTGAAACAAACAGTCTGAACCATTAAGTGCTGAATCATTCAGACATCTGAACCATTAAGAGGCTGAAACAAACAGCCCATAAGGCTAATTACAAGTGTCACGTTCTTACAAAACCAAGTCTTTACCTCTTTTATGCTTCCCAAACACTCAAAAGTCATGTTAGATAATAGAAGAACTCATATACGGAGTATATCCAAGAAAAATCAAATTTTAATTTTTTAATACCTAGAGATCGAGTGTGTGTGTGTTCATGTACACACACAGAGATACATATACATATACATATATATATATATATACATATACATACATACGTATATATATATATATATATATATATATATATATATATATATATATATATATATATATATATATATATATATAGGTGCTTTAGATTCTGGTGAGAATGCGATCTTAGGAGAGAAATGAGAATGAATCTGGTGCTTTAGATTGTGAGATCTAAGGGTCAGGATTGCATCAAAATTAGGTGCACCAAAATGGTTTGAAAATACATCATGTCGAAATGCACCAAAATCCTTTGAAAATGCACCATCTCAAAATCTGAGCGCTGGATGCAATCTGAGCCACACGATGCATCAAATCTAACGGCTAGATTTTATTCTCATTTCTCTCCACAAGATGCATTCTCACGGGAACCGGTCCCTATATATGTGTGTGTGTGTGTCTGTGTGTGTATTCAACTATACATATATTAGGGTAGTAAATATTGACTAAAGAATCATGTTAACGAGTGATGAGTGATTTTTTGTTTAGATGAATATGTATATGTGTGCTTTTTTGGAACTATTTGGCCAAGTCTATTTTTTAAAATATATTTTTGGGGTACAGAGTCATTAGTTTGTTTGACAAGCTGTGTAATTAAAGATTATAAAATATGTGGATTTTAAATTCTTTTTAGGCAAATGACTCAATCAAACCAGGCCATTCAATGCACAGAAGAAAAAAAACATTCAACAATGACAATAGACTAAAGCAAGAAAAAAACGTACATTTCATGCCATGAGTCAACAATGTCTCGATTTACGTTTTTTTGTGTGCATCCATGTGAGTATGAAATCCTAGAGAAATTGTGAAAGATTGCACAATTTTTTTACCCAAGGAGGGAAATTATTGGGGTTGCATTTTGATTGAATTATAGGGATAATGAGTGCAGTTTTGTCCTTGTATAAGTGAAATATACTTGCATTTTTTTTTAGTATTATTAATTTTATTGTAATCTATGTTCATGTGAAGTATACTTTTATAAACAATTGAAACATGTGGAATTTGAAACCAAATAATTATCATATAAATATAAAAAAACAATACGTGCTTTAGCTACAAATGTACTACGTAATATTTTGGAAATATTAATTTTTTGGAGTCAACCAAAACTAATATATATTTAATCTATAATTAAATAAAAATTACATGGTATATTAATTAGATTGAAAAAAGATAAAATAATATTTTGGAAATATTTGAACAAGATGAATTTGATAAAATTATAGTCAAAATTTGTTAATTTTAATTGTAAAGAGTTAAAATTAGACAAACACTCTGAACGATTCTAGTACGGAGTATGAATTAATGATTAGTTATATTTCAAAATAATATTTTGAAAATATTTTAACAAGATCAATTGTTTTAATACTACACTATAGAGTACTAAATTAAATAATTAGTAAAGAAATCATCCTAAATAGGACTAAAACCTAACAAAAGCACCAAAATATAGAATTCCTATTCCTAGAATAAAAACATGGAACTTCTATTTTAGTATATTTTTAATGTTTTATTCCTATTTTAATTTTTTTTTCCCTAATTAATATTGAAAAGAGTGCCAATATATGAGTTTTCATGGATCATGTTGTTTTGCCTTCAAGACAACATAACTTAATTTAATTATAACATTTTGAATAGTTCACTTTCAATTTACTAGGAGGTTAGAAACTTTTAATTTTACGAACGGAGCACCATAATGCTCTCGAGTCATCCCAGATATTAGGTTTCTACTTCGTAATATTTTTGAATAGGAAAATGCTAAAACCCTCCCCCCTTGCAACCAACCATGCCCCCTCTACATAAACATGTGGTAAGGAGGCAAGAAAATTAAAATTAGAGGGTGGGTGGGGAATGTATAGAGATAGCAAATGTAATACTCCGTAGAAATATAGGATTATGAGTAGGGGTGGACACGGTACCGGTACGGTACCGTGACCGGCAACGGTACCGCCAGTACCCGCCACCGTCACCGCCGGCCGGGACGTTCCACCGGTTCCGGGAACCGGTACCGGAACCGTCTCATCCGGTACCGGTTCCGGTACCCATTTTTCGGTACCGGGACCGGCGGTTCCGGTTCTGGTTCCGATACCGTTATTAATTTTTTTTATTTTTATTTTTTTATTTCATTTTTTCCTTTATCAATTTCATTTTTAGATTTTTTTATTTCATTCTTTTCTTTAACAATTGCACATTTACAATTTTACACTTTAAAAATTTAATAAAAAAGCAAAAAAAAAAAAAGAAAATTGGGGGTGGCCGAAACTGGCCGGTTCGGTACCGGAACTGCTGGTCCAGGAACCGGAACCGGTACCGGCCGGTCCGGTACCGGTACCGGTACCAAGGGGTGGCGGTACCGGAACCGGCGGCTCCGGAACCGGAACCGTACCGTGTCCACCCCTAATTAATAATTATGAGGTAGACCGTGCTGGAGTCCTCTAACAGAGACCAGGCGAGCTAAACCCTTTCTCCAACCCCGGAGTGTTACGGAACTCATGAAAGCTAATCTTCGCTCAAGAGCTATGTTCTCGAGCTCTTTCTCTCCCAGAATTTTTGTTTTCCTCTTCAACGGAAAACCTAAAGGTCATTTCTTGTTCTCCATTTCCCCCCTCTATTCCTATCAAAATACATGTTCTGATTTTCCCTAATTCCGTCTCATAAGTCTAACATTTCAATCCTTAGTTCACCCTTTGATCTTCTCCAACCACCAGCGTTCAGCTTCCTTCTCCACTCACATTGTCGGGGACTCGCCTATTCTTGTAGTTTCAATCACCATTCTCTCTGAGTAAATCTCCATCTTTTTGTTTTTTCTGAATATCATTATGAAATCTTTTGGGCATTTTGATGTGAAGGTTAGAGATTTCATTCACAAGGCTTTGTATGATCTGGAGCATGGGTATTTCTCTCAAAGGTCCAAATCCGTTGGGGTTCTTGATAGAAGCATTAAATTCAATCAACTCGAAGGTAGACGCCTTTTTGGCTTATTATGATGAAAAAGAGGGAGTGTATATTGATTACTGCAAACTTAGTTCTGGGGAACATTTCAGGAAGGAGAGATTATATGAAACATTTGGATATAATTTACAAGCAAAGTGGGATTTCATGGTTTACACCAGTGGAGCTTTTTAAGGTAAAATAAGCACTTAAATAGCTTCATGGAGTTTGGGCTGACATATTTGATCTAGTTATGAAATAAAGAAAAAAGAAAAAGGAAGTCACTGCATTTCCACATAATCTTTATTTACTTTCAGTCTGAAATTTACACCTAACATTAAAGTGGAAATGAAGAAAAACATAGAGTTCACCCTTTCTGCCCCTCATATTTTCAGGCAGTCTTATGTGATCCTTATTTTTTTTATAGCCATGGTATGGTCATGGAATTGCAGAAGCTATCTTGCGAACAGCTGACCTATCTGTTCCACTAAAAGTAAGTTCATTGGTTGTGTATGATGCCTTATCCCTATCGGTAGTTGTTTTTTTATTTCTGAATATTTTAGTTCCCAACTTCCCAATAAAAAAATGATATTACCAAGCAACTTTCGTTCATTCTAAGAATAAAAGCCCACATTTTCTAGTTCTAGCTGTTGTTTACCTATTATCAATCCCCTTCTTCTCTTTGATCATAGATTTATGAAATAGGCGGAGGATCCGGCACATGTGCAAAGGGAATTTTGGATTACATGAAGTTGAACGCACCTTCAAGAGTTTACGAGGCTATGAAGTACACGTAGGTGATCATTACTTGTCAATCTAAGGATTCTAAGCACAACTATCGTTAAACATGTTATCGTGATTGTTCATGGTTATTGATTGGTAGTTATTAGTAAGGAGAAAAGGATGGTATGATGAGAGATGGCAAGTGAATAAGCTAGTCATATTAAACATTCACTCTGCGTGTGTGTGCGTCTCAAAATATTTTGTTTGGTGCAGTTCAGTTGAAATTAGTACAGCACTTGCTGCAAAGCAGATTCAAACTGTCGGAGGAGTTAGCAGCCATGCATCCAAGTTTAGGGTAGAGTGTCGTGATGCTGCTGTCCGGAGTGGGTGGGGTAAATTTTTCTCATCTTCCAAAGCTTTTGCTTATCTATTTCTGGTGTTATTGGTAAAGTGTGGCACACACACACACATCATTGCCGTCTAGTTATTATGTTTCAACTCTTAGAATATTGTATAGCGATACAAACTTTGAAGCCTTCTGGCTCATCATTGTGCTACTGAAAGCAGTTTTTTTTCCCGTTGAATCAGGCGAAGTGAAAAATGAACCTTGTTGGGTTATCATGTTGGAGGTATATATGTGATCTTTTTTACTTCTCTTGGTCCCTGCTTTGTATATGCAAATATGAGGATAAGGGAAAATGATACATTTTGTATGTCAATTAGTGGGACGTATATAGTATTTAGTCCCTCAATTATTGATGTGTCCACATTTAGCCTGTTTGATTCCTCAAGATTCTATTTGTTTACCTTATTTATGTTTTCACTTGTCAAATTTAGTTATAAGTGTTCTTAACAACAACACAGTGATCTCTTAGGTCCTTGACAATCTTCCTCATGATCTTATCTATTCTGAAAGTCAAACATCACCATGGATGGAAGTATGGGTTGAGAGGCAACCTCAAAGGTTGGTGTGCATTTTTTTATATTCCTTAACAACTAATGCAACAATCACGATGATGCAACTATTAATAAAAAATGGACAACGTGAAACGTTCTTGTCTATATTGTGAGGTTTTATTGCATTAATTTTCATTCCATTTCTATACCCATTTAGTAGGTCAGAACTGTCTGAGTTGTATAGGCCCATTCAAGATCCATTGATCACTAAATGCATGGAAATCCTAGATATGGCTGGGAGTGGTTTGGATAATGGAGGCAAACTAAGTTTAATGGCAAAGAGTGCTTGGGCAAAAGTGTTTCCTAGGCCCAGAAGATGCTGGCTTCCCACTGGTTGTTTGGTACATATATTTCAGATGTCAATCATGTAAATGTTATCATTATTATGGAGTATTATTTTTACTTGTCTAGTTTCCTCACATATTCAGAAACTTCTAGAAGTTTTGCATGGAGCTTTACCAAAGATGTCTTTAATTGCTTCTGATTTCAATTACCTTCCTGATGTTAGAATCCCGGGTGATCGAGCTCCACTGGTTTCAACAAAGGTATGCTCAGGTTTTTCACATTAGAACATATAGTTTTTCCACAATTCAAAAACATGTCTCTTACACTATGTTTGGTAAAGGGAAAAGAAAAGAAAATGTTATGGAAAACAAATTTTCCTGTTTGGTCAGAGAGGAAAAGAAAATGAGAAGAAAAATGAACTAATAAGAGAGAAAACAGAATCCCTTCAATTTTGGTGAGGAAAAGGAGAGAAACTTTTTTCTTTTTCCTTCCGATCTTAATTTCTTAAACCAAATATTCATTGAAATGAAGTTCAACTCTATCAACCTAGACAATAGGTGTTCTTATAGCTCTTTTCTTAATTTGTTTCTCTGTTTCTGCAGAGAGATGGAAGCAGTTCAGATTACAATAATTATTTGGAAGCAAAGGTCTGGTTGTATTTATGACTTTATATTGTTGTTATTGTACTTCACATACTTGCAAAATAATTGGCATTCATTACTTTCTATTGGCATTAAAAGATATAATGTGACAGATATGAGAAATTCGAACGTGAATCTCCCTAAATACTTGAAAGACTAGGGCTCTGTTTGGGAGCCATAATCTGTTTATTCTGCTTATCAGAACGAGTAGCTTTTGACTAGCTTTTTTTTGAGCTGTAATGGTGATTACCAAACACTATTCCTTATATAAAAGTTTCTTTTTGCAGGGGGATGCCGATATATTCTTCCCAACGGATTTTTGGCTTTTGGAACGGATGGACCACTTTTGCTCTGGATGGACAATGAAGCAGCAACAAGAGAAATCAGCCAAGCGTGGGAAGAAAAGACGCACCCTTATGGTAAATTAAATTACTGCCCCCTCCAACCTGAATTTTCAACCTTCTGGTTTACCATCTTTTCCATTTATAAATAATCACTCAAGCGAGGGAAGAAAAAAGACCGAATTTTTATTCCTATGTTTGGATGCAGCTCGACACATCGGCTTTCATGGAAGAATTTGGTCTTCCCACAAAGACAAGAACCAAAGATGGGTACAACCCTCTCTTAGATGACTTCAAGAACACTATGTTTTATCTTAGTGTGCCCACACACAATATCAAGTAGATTGATGAGAGTATTTGTGTTGTTTTACCTTGTAAGTGATTGCATGGTTCAGATATATCATGTTTCACTTCACAAAAATGGCGCGCGATTGAACACGGGACAACGATATGAACAAGCCATTGTGCAATTGTTTTTCTATGTAGACTTATGTTCTGATCAGAAAAGAATTGCTTACCCAATGAGTGGTATGTGCTCAGTAATCAGATAGAAATTGTTCACAATTCTATCTTATATGTTTGCTTCATTCGTTCCTGAAAATGTCAAATTAATCGTGAAAGAATATAAAAATTAAAAGAAATCACTTACTAAGTGCGGAGTATATTTTTTTCTCATTGATATCCGTGTTGGAACTTTTCCATCATCTAAATTATTTTGGTGAGCATTGATTAATGATAGTTGTTCGAATATGCAATACAAAATTTCTTGATTGCACTCTTTAATAAATAAAGAGTAATTCAAAGTGTATTTAATTACGAAATTTAAATTACGGAATTGAAAACAACAATTCCAATTTTGTTGTTTGGTAGCACACAAATATGTAAATTTGGAATTGATAGTGCCAATAATGAATTGGAATGAGAGAATTGGAATTGGAATAGGAGGGGGAGAGGGGGGGGTGGAAGTTTACTAATCGCTACCCAATCGTCACCCCAACATCGCCGGCCACACGACCCCAATCGCCACCCAACACCAGTTGTCTGCCTAATCGCTGTGGATCTCTCCTTCTCTTCATGCTCGAAATCGCCAGCGACATCTCCCCTTGTCTAAAATCGTCAACGACAACTCTCCTTGTACGAGATCATAAATCGTTTGTTACTTTGTTGTGAAAATCGATACTCAATTGTCATCTCAATTTTCCACCTTCTCTGTCTGCTCTATGCCCACACCACAGCCACACCACTCCAACTATGCCTTGCCATTGTAAGCCATGGAACTCCACAGTAAATTTTGATTGGTTGCAAGATGCCACATCATCCTGTAGCATTCCATTATAGACTTGCGAGTTGCCACTGCTTATGCTCTTAGGCTTTCTTGTATATATATGCCAGCTTATTGGGCATTGAGATTTTAAGGCTCTCACCACAAAAAAGATAAGTTTAACGAGCCCAAGTCCACCATACCCCCCTTATCCGCCAAGCCGAGCAGCGAATCCAGCCATGGCCTCTCTTACTTGGTGCCAGGCAGCCCCCTCCGCCACCGCGACGAACGCACTTTCTCTGCCTCCGCCGCCGTGGAAAGCCGCAACGAACCGGCTGAGCTTCCGCCGAAACGACTGCGAGAATCTCATCATAGCTAGAGCCAAGGGGAGATTGGCGAATCCGCAACGCGATTCGTCGAGGAGGCAGGAGAACGGAATCAGTGTCCGGCCTCAGGCGGCGGCGGAGCAGAAGTTGACTCACGAGGGATCGGTGACGGAGTCGCTCTCCAACGGCATGTTCCGAGTCCGGTTGGACAACGACGACGTGGTTCTCGGCTACATTTCCGGCAAAATCCGGAAGAATTTCATCCGGTTGTTGCCTGGAGACCGAGTCAGAATCGAAGTCAGCCGTTACGATTCGAGCAAAGGACGGATTGTCTACCGGCTCCGCGGCAAAGACCCTAAGGAATAGTTCCCGGCGCCGGCGATCGGTTCCCGGCAATGGTCTTTGTAATGTGTGAAGAAGGATGAACACTGTGGAATTGCTGTATGGCTATAATCAAGTACTTTCTTACCAATTTGTGGCAACTTTTTTTCAAAGTTTACACAGATCAATCATATTCGAAATTGCTGATTATCTCTGCATTTAGGTGATAAATGTGAGAAATTCTAATTCAAATGCCTTCCCAAATTCCCAATTGTTACATAAATTTGTTCTTGCAGTTGCACTTGTCCATTTCTTGTTTATTATCTGTCTGCTGTTTGTTAATTATCAAAACCTATAGAATCAATATAATAACGGAACATGGTTCGATGAAAGGATCATACTCTAGACTCCACTCCAAGAACAAGCCAAGGATGTTTTGATGCTAGAGAACCTTGTGTTGCGAAACTTGTCTTTAGAGAAGAGAGTTAAGAATGGGGTTGAGGTTATGGGGAAAGCCTTGTGCAATGGCTCTCAAGTATCTCTTGGAGCTAATGCTGGCTTATTGCCAAGTCTATGGCTGCAACAAAGGGGGTTCTAAGTCCAACTAGTCAACTCCAAACCTTTTGGTTATTTTGGTTTTAATGGAGTATTAATGTAACTGTATATTGTGCTACACAATGGTCATCACATACGGAGTATATCTTACGGGAGTATATTATTGCATTATTAATAATTGTGCTAACGGCAAGGTTATCTTGATACTAGTATCCAGTATCAACGAATGACATTCGCTTGTTTTGACTTTTGAGCATCTCGTGTGGGAGTGCGAGGTGCATAATAGCCACACATTTGGAGGGGTAATAGGAGAGTCGGGTGGGGGTGCAGGGGTGGGACTGGGGTGGGGTGCAGTGGGGGTTTAGGCCTTTGGGTTAAAGGGTAGAAACTATCAATTTTTAATTTGACGCACTAGAAATGCTCAAAATAGGCGAACGTCATCTGTTGAAATTGGATAATGTGTCAACGGAACCTTGCTTGTGCTGATTGTGTTTTTAATCCTTGTAAAATAGGTGATTTTTATTTTTGGTCTTTGTAAATTTTTTTATAGTTAAATCATCCTTACAAAATTTTGTATTCCCAACTCAAGATATTTGTTCCAACAATAATGACTTTGCAATAAGTTTTAAGATCAACCCAAGAAATGACGTTGCATTAACTCTTTCACTACCTAAATAAAATCAAAATAAGAACTCCTTGATATATACTTCTCTTTGTAAGAAATGGAGGTAAAAATTCTTTTTAAAGTTTAAAGGAAATTTTTTTTTAAAATAAAAATAAAAACATAAATTCATAAAAATAATTTTAATTTTCATTTTGTTGCATAAAACAGGTTTCATTAACAAGCCGTTGGCAACTTAATGGCGATATAAAATGCGTAAATTTTAATAAAATTCGAATTATTATACATCATAATAAAAAATTTGATTATTTTTTAAACATTCATTAAAATTAGAATTAAACTAGATAATTTTGGGTAAAAGTTAAATATTTAGAGTTTGAGACTCTCACCAAACAAAATCTAGCAATCGACCTAGCAAGAAAAATGCGAGCAAATGATTTGAGGAGAAAGGGGAAGAAAGAGCAGACACTACTACTCAAGAATGGCAGCCGCCATTTCAGTCTTCAGTCCCTCCATTGATGAGCAGAGATGGGTGAGCCAAAGTAGAAGAGCCTTAGACTCAGAGCTCATCCTACAAATTGACGATTTCACCCCCACAATCTTTCAAGTCCCCAAATCCTTGAAAGAATCCAAGCCCGAAGCCTACACTCCACGCCTTCTTGGCCTGGGCCCGTACCATCATCTCCGGCCAGACCTCCATGCCGCCGACAGGCAAAAGCTTGCCGAAGTCAATAAATTTCTGACGAAAAACTCCTCCACCAAGAGTTTCTTCTCCGATGACTTCCTGAAAAAGATGAAGGATTTGGACCCCGTGGTCCGGGCCAACTACGACCAGTACTTGGATCTCCAATCCTCAACCCTAGATCACATCCTCGCCGTCGATTCCTTTTATCTGCTCCATTTTCTAGGCGCCTATGACCAGAAAACCGACGCCGCGAATCTGGAGTCCGGTCGCCCGGAACTGGCGGGGGATGTCATGATGCTGGAGAACCAGATTCCGGCAATTGCGGTTGCAGAGATGGGGAAGGAGATAGATCTGTTCTCCCCGGAAAGAGGTACCCAAGAAACCATGTTGCATTCCCAGCTCTTTTACTACTTCTGTAAAGCCCACTCTCCCTTTAAACTGTCTGAGCTCTGGAGAGACCGCCGCCACCAGAGCAGCCACCTATTGGCTCATATGTACCATCTGGTCCTGAACAATCGTGGGTATGAAGAAAAATCTGATCTTGATTTGCGGATGAGAAGATCAAGAATCACAGAGGTGGGCACGGAGGCTTTAACAGCTTTAAGTGAAGTTGGACTTGGAGGAGGAGCTTCCATTTGGATTAAGCCACTCCTATTTGCTTTCAAGTCTTTACAAGCTTGGGAGAACGCTAAGTTAGCTGATGAATTAATTAGTAATGATAATAAGATTACAGGTTCCAGAACACAAAAGATTCTTCATCAGATTCCTTCCGCGTCCGTGTTGTCCAAGAAACACAGTGTGGAGTTCAGGTTGCTGGAAAGGGAAGGTATAAAGGACATCAAGCTCGACTTCGAGGATGGTAAACCCGTGCTTTATCTCCCGGAAATCACTTTTGAACACGAATCAGAAGTTGTGTTGAGAAACTTGGTGGCATATGAATCTGCAATTTCCACTCAAGACTCTACCTTAGAGCTTGCTGAGTATGTACATCTGATGGGTGAATTATTGCAGAAGCCAGAAGACATGGTGGTTCTGCACGATAGAGGAATCGTAAAGGGAAACCAGGACGACAAACAGGTTGTTGAGATCTTCAATGCAATTCATAACTCTGTGGGAAAATCGATTGAGGAGTCTGCAAGCCAGAAGGCAGGGAAGGAATTGAAGGAGATGGTGGAGAAATGGGAGAGGAAAAAAAAGGATGTGTGGAAAAGGGGCTTCAAGTTTATGGAGAAGAAGGCCAAGAATGGTGTGGAGTTCATGAGGAAACCTTTAGGAATTGGTCTGAAGTATCTGCTGTATGTGTTTATGGTCATTCTGCTAGTGCTGCAGATGATGCAAGCCTATTGCCAGGTTTATGGATGCAACAAAGGACCTTCTGAAGGCAACACTCTGAGGTCACTTTTACTGCATAGTGCTTAGTAGATTGTGGTCAATATGCAATATTAGAGTATCATTGTAAGAATTTTGAATTCCCAAGAACTTAAAGATAATTTTGTAATCTTGGGATATTCTTGTAAAATCTCAAATTTCTAGAAGTATTTGCATATTTGCATGCATTTTTCATTATTTTAATCATATACCAATAAAATCATCACAAATTCTTAATGCAGCAGCAACAACACACCTAGTAAAACATCACAAAAAGTAGGGTCGGAAAATACAAAAATGTCAAGCTTTGTCATAGAATGAATAGAAAAATTAACTCGAACGTTTGGACTTTGGAGTGGTTAGTTGGATTTAGAGCCCCCTTTGTTGCATCCGTTGACTTGGCAATAAGCCTGCATTAGCTGCAGCACCACCAACACCACCAAAAGTACATACAGCAGATACTTGAGAGCCAATACACAAGGCTTCCTCACAACCTCAACCCCCTCCTTGACTCTCTTCTTTAAAGATCTATGGAGTTTCGTCCACTTCGTCTCGTTCTTCTTCTCTAACTCCTTCAATAGTCTCCCCACCTTCTGGCTTGCACACTCCTCCTTCGACTTCCCCAGAGTCTGGGGTTTCCCAAACTCAGCAAAGATCCCAACGACCTGTTCGTCGTTCAAGCTTCCTTTCACAATTCCCTTTTCTCGCAGAAGCGCCACGTCTGGTGGGGCCTGCAATAGGTCACCCATCAGATCAATGTACTCGGCAAGTTCTATGGTGGACTCTGGGGTGGTGGCGGCGGCAATGGCAGCTTCATATGCAATCAAGTTTCTCAGCACGACTTCTGAGTCCTGTTCAAGAGTGATCTCCGGGAGATGAAGCATGGGTATGGACTCCAATGATTCGAGCTTGATATCCTTAATCCCTTGTTTCTCCAGCAACATGAAACCCATTTTGTGTTTCTTGGACAGCTCCGACGCTGCAGGAATCTCATGAATCTTTGGTCTTTTTGCTTCTTGCTCTTTAGGCTCTATTTGGATGAGAGTAAGAGAGGAAAAATAAGGACTAGTGACTGTATTTGTACGAGTTCTTATATTATACGCCTGAAATATGCATTGTTCATTTTATATTTTTATTCCTTCACATATACTTAAAGCATGCACATCATAAAGTTGATGTGTGCACATTTAATAATATTGTTCAATGCTTATTTTCTTGTTAAGAAATTATTTTCTTTTAGTTGCTAATAACACTATAGATTTGTTAAAGGATAAAAATAAAATCTTGAAAATAATGCAGACCCAAAACATGGACATTATAACATACTACTCCCTCTGTTCGGAAAGAACTTCCCAAGTAGACTTTTCACGGGTTTTAAGAAGAGTTGAAAAAAGTAAAAGTTTACCAAATTATCCTTAATGAAAGTGTGTGGAATATTCGGCGAGGCGTAATAAATAAAGTGAGGGTAGTTGTGATTTTTAATTTTTAAAAAGTTTACATACTTTCATCAATAATTTCCTAAAATAGCATAGTATTATCACTTTTTGTTCAAATAATTATGTGACAATGGAGTATTAGTAGTGGCTTACCCTTATTATTACCAATAATCTCCTTGGTTAACATGCTGTTCTCCAAAACTTCCACAGCCGTGAAAGCAAAGAGAAGTGGCTTGATCATGGGGCCTCCAAGTCCCAGCTCACTCAAAGCCTTCAAAATCTCTACCCCAGTCTCTCCGATTTTTGATCTTTTTGCGTGCGAGGGTGTTTCTACTTCTTCAAACCCGCGGTTGTTCACGATGAGGTAATACATGTGGGCCAACAAGTGCCTGCTCTTCTGGCGGCGGTCTTTCCAGAGCGCCGCCAGCCTGAGCGGAGAATGGGCTTTGCAGAAGTAGTAAAATAGCTGGGAATGCAGCATGGCTTCATCGGTGTCTCCTTGAGGTCTGAAGAGAGATATCCGATTCCATACCTCTAGAAGGGCAAAATCGGGAACTTGGTTCTCTAGCATCAAAACATCCTCGACCAGCTCTCGGCGCCCTGGCTGCGCGAGAACAGATGATTCTGTTCTCGGGCCGTAGGCGCCGAGAAAGTCGAGCAAGTAGAACGAGTCGACGGCGATGATGTACGCCACGGTAAGGCCCTCGATATCCAAGTACTTGTCGTAACTTGCCCGGACCAATGCCTCCAAACTCGCCATCTTCATTATGAAGGGTTCGGAGAAGAAAAGGTAGTCCGTGGTAGATTCTCTGACTCTGTCCTGATACTTTTTTATCAGGGCAAGCTTTCGCGCGTGTGTGTTGTGTAGTTCCGGACGGAGATGGTGGTACGGGCCCAGGCCGAGTAGGCTCGGCGTGTAGGCTTCGGGCTTGGTTTCTTTTAACGGTTTGGGGACTTGAAAGATTGCTGGGGTGAAATCAATTTCTATGGTGTGGTCTGACTTTAAGGCTCTGGTTCCTTGCCCCAACCATCTCCCTTCATCAATGGATGGACTGAAGAATGAAATGCCCTCTGCCATGGCTAGAAAATATATTTTTTTTTTGTTGGGAAAGTTTTTTTAAGATGGGTATTTGGTGAGTGTGCTTATATATACGAAGTATTTTAAGAGAGTTTCTTGTGCATTAATGTTGTCTTTGAATGGATTCGAAAGCCATGCAAATGGTATTGGAATCACACTGTACAAACTCTAGCCAAAGCAATGGCTTTGTTGGGACTGATTGGGACATTAACAATCCAATCTTATTGTGGGGCTATGGAGGGGTCCACATATATATTCTTGAAAGAAAGATCAAAGTAAGACTAAAACATTGAAAATATACCAAAATAGGACTTTCATGTTTTTATTCCTGAATTAAGACTTACATTACCATACATGGTCATATAAATTACCAAAAAAATATAATAATTTGCACAGGTACACTGTTACATTAAAGTCATATTACCACAGTGCAAAGCTCCGGGGAAAAAAACATGAAAGTCACATTTTTGGTGCATTAAATTACTCCATAATCTTTCTTGCTTTCCATATTTGTGGAGAATATTCATGTTTTACTTCTAATATCACGAGTTACCTTATTAAAGAATACATCAAATCTATATATTTATGGCATAGTATCACTTATTATTAATAGAATTCATATTTAAGAGCATTCTTACCAATTATGAACAAAACTACTTATTTTAGACATGTAATGGGAACTTTATATATAAATACACGACATTCGTGGTTATTTTTCATCCAGCTGTAAATTTCATACTACTCGCCCGCTTCAATAGCTACAATGCAAAACCAAAATAAGGAAAGATTGATATTAGCAAAAGAGGCGAGAGTGCGAAGAAAAGAAGTGCTTCAACAAAAAGAACCATCGAATAAAGGTATTTCTTTAACTAATTATATTTCTTTATTGATTATAAATCATTCATATTTTCTATAGGCTTTATTTTCTATAAATATGATTTTATAGAAATTTGATGAAAAACATTATTATCCTAGCGCATGTGTGTAAAATTTTGGGAATAACAACGTGAATAGAATAAAATAATTTTCTAAATTTAATTTCTCCATGCCATATGTCACATTCAATTTGTTTCTAATCTTCATAATGAAATCCTTTGTTATGGATAGCAAATTTATTATTTCAGTGAATTAGGTTATATATTTAGTTTTAAATTGTTAATTTTGTTTTCCATGTATTTTTCTTTACAAAAAAACATATACTGTTTAAGGATGCAATGTTAAAGATGAATGTAATTATTGGTGAGTAATAATATAGATTTATTTGGTACATGCATTTATAACAATTTATAATAATGTTGTGTATAACTAAGTGATGAACGCGCATTATATATAGTAAATTTAAGTACACACAACTATCATTGTAATACCTATATATAACCATATTATAAACTTATTACTTAAACATAGTCGTTTTGTGTGACTCAAGGCTGACAACTTTTTCAAACCCTTTATTGGAAAATAATAGCTTTAAAATAGAAAGTTGAAATTTTAAAAAAGAAGCATATTTTTTATTACACTTGATGTTTTGATTTTAATATATACAATAAATCAGTAGAGTATTGTTAGATAAACACAACAATAAATCATCATTTATTTCAAAATTAATAATAATAATATTATTATTATGGATATTATTATTATTATTAATATTGTTGTTGTTGTTAATATTATCCAACGTAATTTAGGAACCAAATTTTAATCAAGAGTTTTTAATTTTTTTTATAGACAGATTTTTTTGGGGTTTTTTTGCATTCTACTCCCTCCGTCCACGAGTATTAGTCCAGTTTTTACTTTTTTAGAAAAAATTGATAAACTTTATCTCAGAGGTAGTAAAAAAATAAAATAAAAATTGATAAAAAAAATAATATTATTAGATTTATTATATCAAGAATAATATTACATGTAATATAAAACATATATTTTATTTAATTAGAGGTCAAATGTTAAAAAAAATTGATTAAAAAAAAAGTTAAAACTTAACAAATACTCAAGGAGGAAGGTAGTAATACACTTAAATAGGCATTATGTACCAAAGATTTTTTTTCATTAATCTATCATATATAAAACTTAGGAATTATATCCATAAAACATTCGTAAAAGAAGCATTAAAAATTATTTACTTTTTCATAAAGCATATATTAGTTCAATATTTTCTTTCTATGCTTGATTACATTCACAGATGGAGAAGCATCGTCGTCGGCCATAGGCTCGGATAATCGAAGCCGTTCAAGAAAGAATATACTTAGTGATGTGACAAATGGTAATTTTTTTATTATAATTAAGATTTAATATTTCCAGTACATTTTCCCTAAAAAAGGATCTATACAGTGCTTCAATCAGAGAATAATTCTACACCCACTTCATCACGCTTTCAAGTGTATAAGAGACAGAAGAGAATTGATCTATCTGCAATAACACGTTCTATTACTTTCGAAGAAGGTAATCATTCAAAACTTTTCTTTGTGTGTTAGGTAACTATAGGTATATAGTGCTATTATAAATATATTTAAATATTAACTACCTCTATATGGGGGATCATACACTACATTTTTATTTTAAATACACAAAAATGTTGTTGTTGAAGGTTCATCTACTCAATATACATCAGCAGAACCGTTTTTAGATAATCTTGCATTTGGAGAAGCTGAAATTAAAGGTATGTTTACATAATATGTACCACATTAAATTTTTGTAAAATCCTAAATCTTTATAAACAACTTTCTATATCATATTTTATTATTCCTGTGTAGATATAATTGATTTTGGGGATCCCACATTTAAATGTGAATTCTGTGGAGCATTGTTATGGTATGGAGAAAGAGCTGAAAAAAGTAGAGAATCAGAAAAACCCGACTTTTCGATTTGTTGTATGAAAGGAAAAGTTGAACTGCCTCTGCTAAAGAAACCTCCAGATTTGCTCTATAATTTATTTAATGGGAGTGACGTTAGGAGTTCCCATTTTTTGAACAATTTAAGAAAGTACAACAGTATGTTTTCATTCGCGTATATGGATGGAAATATTGATACATCTCAGAACAACGGTCGAGCAGCTCCACAGTTTACTCTTAGTGGTCACAATCATCATCACATAACATCATTGTTGCCACAAGATGGTGGAAGGCCAAGATTTACTCAACTGTATATTTATGATACACAGAACGAGGTATCAAATAGAATAGCTCATTTCAGGTATTTCAGGTATTTTAGTATGTGCGGTCCTTTAATGCATGTACTCTTTATTTGTGCATGACAAAATATTTTCATGGAACATAATTATCATAATAACATAATTTTTTTCATGCAGAAGGCGGAATAATTCTTCGGCTATTGATACAACTTTAGTCGAGGATTTGAAAAATATGATAGATGAACATAATATTTTGGCACAGAGTTTCAGAAGAGCTAGAGATTTCGTGCATAGTGAGCCCACATCTACTTTGTCTATGAGGCTTCTGAGAAGTAGATCTAGAGACTCGAGAAATTATAATATCCCCACAGCGGACGAAGTTGCAGCTCTGATAGTTGGAGATTTTGATTCAAAAAATGAAGAAAGGGACATCATCGTCGTAGAAAGAAATGGATTCTTGCAACAAATCCATGAGACACACCCGACGTTCATACCTCTACAGTACCCTTTGTTGTTTCCTTTTGGGGAAGACGGATATCATGAAAATATCCGTATAAGAGAATCATTTTTCCTGCAAAACAATGTAAAGCGTCCAAATATATCAGCGAGAGAATTTGTTGCATATCGTATACAAGAAAGGGAAAATGATGGTGGCATTTTGTTGCTTGCGCGGAGATTGTACTTACAATTTCTGGTAGATGCTTACACGATCGTTGAGGCTCAGATAATCCAGTGGGTAAAGTTAAACCAAGATCAATTAAGGGGAGCAATTATGAGTGGCATAGAAGAAGCTGTGATTAGAGGTGATACCCAATCGGCATCTGTTGGCCAACGAACTATTCTACCATCTTCATTCACTGGGGGAATGAGATATATGTTTAACAACTGTCAAGATGCTATGGCCATTTGTAGAAGACTTGGTTATCCAGATTTGTTCATTACTATGACATGTAATCCCCAGTGGCCAGAAATTGCAAGATATATGACAGTAAGAAAATGTAGAGCTGAAGACAGACCCGATATTGAATCTAGGATTTTTAAAATGAAATTGGATCATTTGGAAAAGGACCTAAAAAAGGCCGAATATTTGGTGAAGTGATTGCAGGTAATGCTATAGTTTGGTATCTTATTTTCATTTAAATAATAAAATTAATATACTTTAAACATTATTATTTTATGTATCGTCATTTGACTCGAATAATTGTGTGCAGGTTTGTACACAGTTGAGTTTCAAAAGAGAGGTTTGCCTCATGCACATATCTTAATTTGGTTACACGAGAGAGATAAACTTCAATCACCAGAGTCGATTGATCGTGTGATATGTGCAGAGTTGCCTGATAAAGAAAAGTACCCAAGGTTGTATGAATCTGTAACTCGCTTGATGATGCATGGTCCCTGTGGAGTAAATGATCCTAGATCTCCATGTATGGATGATGGAAAATGCAAAAAATATTTCCCGAAAAAATTTGTTGACAAGACATCATTTGATGAGAATGTGTATCCAGTATATAGAAGAAGAAACATGGGGATCACCACAACAAGAAAAGATGTCGAGTTGGATAATCGATTTGTTGTGCCATACAACCCACTGCTCTTGATGAGATATCAAGCTCACATCAACATTGAATATTGCAACAAATCTAATTCAATCAAATATCTCTTTAAATATGTCAATAAGGGTCCGGATAGAGTAACTGTTGCAGTTACCCAATCTAAATCTGACGATGCTCATAATGAGGTGCGTGATGAGACAGAGAAATACTATGATTGTCGTTACGTCTCTGCATGTGAAGCATCTTGGAGAATTCTCTCTTTTGATATACATCACAGATGGCCAGCAGTATTGAGGTTGAATTTCCATCTCCCAGGACAGAAATTTGTCACTTTTAAGGAGCAACAAAAGTTAAAAGATGTTTCCAGACAAAATCTTTACAAGCCTTCAATGTTTGAGGCTTGGATGATTGCAAATTCAAAGTACAAAGCGGGGGAAAATCTAACGTATGCAGAATTTCCAGGACATTTCGTGTTCAACAACAAGGAGCGTGAATGGCATCCGAGGAAACAGAGACCATCAATAGGCCGCCTACAATATATGCCTGCAGGAACAAGAGAGTTATACTACTTGAGAATACTATTAACTGTCCAGCGGGGGTGTACAAGTTATGAAAGCTTGAAGACAGTTAACAATGTTCTGTATAACACATTCGAGGAGGCATGCGATGCTAAGGAATTTATTGAAGGTATAAAAGAGGCTGCTGAGTTAGGTTCTGGGAATCAGCTTAGAAAATTGTTCGTCACGTTGTTAGTGACAAATACCATGAGTCGCCCTCAAATTGTTTGGGAAAAATCATGGGAACGCCTGGTGGATGGAATTTTATTTGATCGAAGGAGACTATTTCGTAATCAAGGTATTTCAAACGTGAAATAGTTTTAACATATTAATCTTTACATAATGCATTGTCTTGAAACCTACAATTTTTATTCAGAACTTTGTAGAATTAAATAAGTTCTATTATTTCTGATTCTTTTTTCAGAGCTTATCATTTCTCAAGAAGACCTAAAGAATTTATGTCTTATTGAGATTGAAAAGTTGCTTAATTCAAATGGACGGTCTTTGAGGGAGTTCAGTTGTATGTCGTTTCCAGATGACAGCCCACTCAATACATTTCAAAACAATTTGTTGGTTGAGGAGTTGAATTATGATAAAGAAAAGTTGTCATCTGATCTTACGGGATACTTATCTACGATGAATGAAGATCAGCGGAAGATATACGATGAAATAATGGAAGTTGTGACAGCTAGAAAAGGAGGATTCTTTTTTGTGTATGGTTGCGGTGGAACTGGAAAAACATTTCTTTGGAAATCATTGTCTGCTTCTCTAAGATCAAGTGGTAAAGTTGTCTTGAATGTCGCATCCAGTGGGATTGCAGCATTACTTTTGCCTGGGGGAAGGACAACACACTCAAGATTTTCAATTCCTTTGGCGCTAACAGAGTGCTCAACATGTGCCATCCAACAAGGAAGCCCAAAAGCAGAACTAATTCAACAAGCAAGTTTAATCATATGGGATGAAGCATGTATGATGAATAGATTTGCTTTTGAGGCATTGGATCGCACGATGAGAGATCTAATGAAGTTCGCTAATCCAAACTCAATAAATGAACCATTTGGAGGGAAAACGGTTGTGCTCGGAGGTGATTTTAGACAAATTCTTCTTGTTTTACCTAGAGCTTCAAGAGATGAAATTGTAGGTGCAACCATTAATTCTTCAAATTTGTGGTCTTATTGTAGAGTTTTTAAGTTGACGAAGAATATGAGATTGCATTCATCAACATCCTCTTGCGTAGATAGAGACACACAAGATTTTTCAGATTGGATAATCAAAGTTGGAGATGGAAAGCTTGGACAAGTGATTGATGGAACTGCTGACGTTGAAATTCCTCAAGAATTTTTTATTCTAGATAACAATTCTCCCCTCAAAAGTATAGTGGACTTTACTTATCCTAACTTATTGGAGAATATGAAAAGTTATTCTTTTTTTGAGGACAGGGCACTACTTGCACCCACGCTCGAAGTTGTAGAGATGGTAAATGAATTTATCTTATCCCTCATTCCCGGAGATGAAATGGTGTACTTGAGTTCTGATTCGTCATGCCAAGCAGATTCAGATGTAGGTATTGATGGCGACTGGATAACAGTTGAGTTTTTGAATGATATCAAATGTTCGGGAATCCCAAACCACAAGATAGGTTTAAAAAAATGGGTACCAATTATGTTACTGAGGAATATTGACCAAACATCTGGATTGTGTAATGGTACAAGATTAATTGTTGACGAGATGCGAAAGAATGTTATTGGTGCTATTGTGGTTTCGGGAAATCGAGTGGGTGAAAAAGTTTACATACCCCGAATGAATTTGGTACCGTCTGATCCAGGACTACCTCTGAAGTTCCAGAGAAGACAGTTTCCAATAGTCTTATGTTTTGCTATGACTATTAACAAAAGTCAAGGTCAAACATTGTCATTTGTTGGATTATTTTTAACCAAGTCAGTGTTCACTCATGGTCAGCTTTATGTTGCTGTTTCGCGAGTGAAGACAAAGACAGGATTAAAAATATTAGTCTTAGATGACAATGGAAATCCTTGCAGTCATACAAAAAATGTTGTATACCCTGAAGTCTTTCAAAAAATTTGGTATTAAAACAAAATTTGTTGGGTGTAGATTCAATTCCTTAAATATTATTCTTTTTACTTTGTCTTTCTTTTCTATGTTATTATAAATCATGTATGAAGTATATTTCTTTTATTGCGGAAAAAAAAATATTACATTGAAAAAATTCAGAACCGAGAAGATATTCGTTCGATCCCGTGCATTGCACGGGTAGGAATACTAGTTACCAAAAAAATATAATAATTTGCACAGGTACACTGTTACATTAAAGTCATATTACCACAGTGCAAAGCTTCGGGGAAAAAAACATGAAAGTCACATTTTTGGTACTTTTCTCTATATTTTAGTCTATCTAGGGTGATTTCTATAAATTCTTCACTACTAAGAAAATTGAAAAAGGGTAGGCGGTAGGTCTTGCAAAAATTAATCTGATTTGTTTTTAGGGCACGTTTCCCAATGCCATAGGATGACATGGGGCGCTCTGATGCCCCGTTTGTAAAATTGACGATTCTTACTCTCCTAACTCTCTTGCATGCCCCCCTCTTTGCTCCGATCTGAACACACCTCTTTTAATCGCACCCTCCAAGTTAATTTTGATTTTAGAGTCAAATTTTGACTCCAAAGTTGAAATTAATTTGGTGATGCAATTGAAGGGGGTGAGGGTGTGTTCGGATCGGGATGATGTGGAGAGGGGGGTAAGAATCATTAATTTTACGAAAGAGGTATCAAAGCGACACCGGGTCATCCTATAATATGAAATTTCAATATCATGGGAACTCCTGCGTTTTTTAATATGAGACCTGATTTAAAAGTATTGGGATTTAAACATACGTTATGCTGACCAAACTTGAAGATGAACGAACTCAAAATGACCCGTTAAAAATAAGCTAAATCCGACTGAACTTGAATCTGATCTGATCGACTCATTAACATAAGGGTTTTTAAAAATCATATGGAGTATTATTTAATATATGAAGGGTAATGTAATAAAAATAAGGTTATGTTTTTATTTTTTCGAATTACTCTTTTTTAGTATGTAAATTTATACGGAGTATTGTGTTTTCGAACAAGTTTTTAATTATATCATATACTCCGTAGTTATTTTCAAATTCGCCTAAGCTTATTGAAAATTCTAAATCTGAAGAAATTAAAGTAAACGATGGGAGATAAGTGCAATATTTAGACTTATTGAGAAGAGTATTTGCGTGAAGAAGATGACGCGAGAGATTAAGCTTAGAGAGATTTGATATGTGAAATTTTAGATTGCAAAAATATAAGTATGTTAACTTGCCACTCAATGGTAAAAGACACACTCTAATAACATTGATCATGATTAGATAATGACGGAGTAAAGACGTAAATAAGAAAAAAAAATGTGGGAGTAACGTTTTTAATAAAGGAAGTTGAGAGTATTTTGTAAGATATGTAGTTTCTTGGAGTATTCTTGTTAACTTTTGCATAATTTTTTTTTTTTAAAAATTGAGTGACAATGAGATTTGGATTCGTTACCCCTTAATCGATAAAGCTTTGATATTTTCATCACATTTTACTTTTACCCATCATATCAAGGGTATTTTTGGAAAGAACACAAAATATCACTTCTTTAATTTCCCAAAAAGTCAATAAGGAAAACCCTTTCGGGGACGGAGGAAGTACAGTCTTAAGATCCATATTCATATATGGGAAATAATTCCATCTTCTTATATCAACATTAAAAGTTAAAACCAAATCAAATGGTTGGTTTGGAGTTGACTACTTTGACTTAAAACCTCCTTTGTTACATCCATAGACTTGGCAATAAGCCTGCATTAGCTGCAACACCACCAACACCACCAAAAATATATACAACACATACTTGAGAGCCATTGCACATGGCTTCCTCATAACCTCAACCCCATCCTTAACTCTCTTCTCTATAGATCTATGGAGTCTCGCCCACGTCGTCTCGTTCTTCTTCTCCCACTCCTCCACCATCTCCTTCAGCTTCCTCACCACCTTCTCGCTTGCATGCGCCTCTGGCTTCTCCTCAGTCCCGGGTTTCCCGATCCCGGCCAGGATCTTGACAATCTGTTCGTCGTCTAGACTTCCCTTCACGATTCCTTTTTCTCGCAAAAGTGCCACATCTTCCGGCGCCTGCAATAGGTCACCCATCAAAGCAACGTACTCGGCGAGCACCAAGGTCGACTCTGGGGTGGCAATGGAAGCTTCGTACGCCACCAAGTTTCTCAACACAACTTCTGCATCAGGTCTAAAAGTGATCTCGGGGAGATGAAGCACCGGGGGCAGACTTCCTGCCTCCACCTCCTCTAGCTTGACATCCACGATCCCTTTCGTGTTCATCACCTTGAAATCCACTCTGAATTTCTTTGAAGACAACGAAGACAACTGTGATGCCGAAGGAATCCGATGACGAGTCGGTTTTTTCACCGCCTCTTCTTCTGGTTCTTTGTTTTTAGTACTTGTTCTAATCTCGTTGGCTAACACGTTGTTCTCCAGAACTTGAATGGCCTTGAAAGCAAGCAGAAGCGGCTTAACAATGTCTCCACCAACACCGAGTTCACTTGCAGCTGTTAAAACCTTTACTCCTTCATCGACTATACGGGATTTGCCAATATAGAATAAATCTTCGGACCCGTCGTTGAATGCGATTAGACGATACATGTGATCTAGTAGGTGCATGCTCTGATAAGATTGGTTCACCCATAGCTTCGACAGCTTGAGAGGAGAGTGGACTCTGCAGAAGCAGTAAAACAGCTCGTAATGCAACATGCTTTTTTGGGTATTATTATCTCCTAGGGGAGGCAATAATTCTATATTCACCCCTATATAGGAAAGGGCAAGTGCAGGAATTTGGTTCTCTAGCATCAAAACATCCATGGCCAGTTCTCTGAGTCTAGAGTCTAGAGTTTCGTACTCAGTCGTGTACCAGTAGGCGCTGAGGAAATGAAGCAGGAAGAAGGAGTCGACAGGGATGATGTAGGCCAGGGTGGCGCCCTCGAGATCCAAGTACTTGTCGTACCGGGCCCGGACATACGGCTCTAGGGGGCCCATTATATGGTATGGGGAAAACCGAAACTCAGGCAACGATTCCTGGACCTTTTCCTGGAACTTGTTGATCAGGTTGAGCTTATGGGTGTGGGTGCGGTGGAGGTCTGGCCGGAGATGGTGGTACGGACCGAGGCCGAGTAGGCGCGGAGTGTAGGCTTCGGGCTTGGTTTCTTTCAAGGCTTTGGGGACTTGAAAGATTGTTGGAGTGGAATCTATTTCCAATCTTATGTCCAAGGCTCTTCTTCCTTGCTCCACCCATCTCCTTTCATCAATGGGTGGGCTATAAGTTGATGATGATGATGATGATGATGAGATGCCTTCTCTCATAGCTTAAAAAAGTTAAATTGTAAGAAATTATGTATGATGATGATAGAATATATATTTTGTTTTCCTCTCCTAAGTTAGCTTAGAATGTACGTACACACCACTAAATACTCATATATATGCATGCATGCATGCATGGAGTAGGTTATTAATGCATGGAGTGGATAATTCGAAAACCAGAGACATAATATTGGAATATAATAATGACATATCCAAGGGAAAAGGAGTTGCTTTTTGTTGGGAGCTAGGGATTGCTTATTGGAACCACACTGGTCCGATCCCCTCCAATCAAGAAGGCCCGTCTAATTAGCATAAGAATTGATTTGAATTTATTTCTAATTTAAAAATACAAATTTATATTTTTTAACGCTAATAATGTTATTATATACATTCTCAACTCATTAAGTACATAGAATTACTATCTTCGATAGAGATCAAACATGTGACATCATATATGGGAGAATTACCATCATGGCATCATGCCATTGGACCACAAAGTCTTTGACATAAGTGAAATTTATATATTCGTATTAAAAAGATTAATACAAAATTTTACAAAACATAAAGTGACATAACTATTTTATACTTTATCCATTCCAAAATGGTTTACACTTTTACTATTTGAGACTCGCGATTGATAACTTTTGTAGTTTTGTTTACTCGTATGTTTTCATTAGTCATTTGATAAATATAATATTCTTATCACATCTTGTTCTGTAGAATTTTTTATGCAATTTTTAATAATATAATTTGTACTTTTATTTCCATACCAATTTATAGATAAAATTATTTTAAAAAATATTGAAAAAACAAGAGGCCAGACAATAACGCTGCAAAACAACATTAGAAAATCTGTATACGAAGTACGTGAAGAACACATGATGATAGACTTAACGAATCACGTATAAATAAACACTTTCAAATCATTTTGGGGTAACTCTTTGAGGTATATCAAAATACTTCAATCGGATAAAATGTTCGTAATCCAAAATGAGTATGGAAGTTTTAGTGCATCGAAATATACCTTGGACCTTGTATTCATAGGCAAATTTTTGAATGGACATGTTGGTTGATAAACAACACACTTTTTGGGTAAATTAAATTCAAATATTAGTACTCAAACATTCCAATGTTTATGATAATTAAAAAATGGTTATTTATGTAGTATGTGTGGATCGTTGCAATTTATCGAGAAATATTCGAACACTAGTAGTACAAATATGACGCCATTTTTGGGTAGGGGCATTTGAATCGGTTTTTTAGTAATAACCGATGCAAAAATCCAACTTTCAGAACTGGCGGTAATTTTTGTAAAGGGTTTTTGCATCGGTTTTAGCAACCGATGCAAAAAGTATCGGAGTATTTGCATCGCTGGCTTTTGCATCGGTTGGAAACCGATTTAAAAGGGTTCAAATAACCAATTTAAAAAGTCATTTTTGTACTAGTGGAATGTTTGTGATCAAACATGCAAATGTATTGGACATTTCTACAAATGACATTTAGAGATTAAAGAAATCTTTCGGGATAAGAGTAAAAAAGCATGAAAATACTGAAATAAGAGTAAGTCTTTTAAGACCAAAATAGCAGTATAATGACAATATAGTGTAAATGTACGCATTGACAGTGTAATGGAAAAGTGATTCGATGACAGTGTAATACATCAGTGTGATTAGTTAATCATTTGTGATTCGCGGTGGCACTCTGGTGGCCACGACAATGGATGGCAGTGTGGCGACAATGGTGAGTGTGACAGTGTAACAATGTCATTGCAAATTCTTATTTTGATTTTTAAAGACTTAAACTTTTGTTTTGATATTTTCAAAATTTTTACTCTTATATAATAATTTTTTCCTAGAGATAAACGTAATATTTGAATATACATTCAAAATTCAAAAGATTTTTATAAAACAACTTCGTTGCCCCTAGCCAAATGCACTACTCCTTGGACTCCTTTATGAAATGTTCAATATCCTCCAATATTGAAATGTTCAATATCGTTAAACAAACTTACACTCCAAAAATAATTCTTGAGCCTTGGAGGTAGGGATGTAAACAAATCAAATATTTTAAATTCGATTCGCGATTTGTATTAGAATATGATGATTCGAATTCGCGTTATTCAAATACAAATTCAAATTCAAATATTATTTTTTATTCGAACATTAATCAAATACAAATACAAATAGGGATATATTCGATTCGGATGATATTCGAATATTCGAATATATGTATATATACACAGACCATGTTTTCAACATCAAAAGTCAAGTAAAGTAATACTCCCTCCATCCTGGAGTATTCGTCCAGTTTTGAATTTTGGAACTATTAATTTAAGCACTTTGGCTCATCAAATTCTCTCAATGTGTAAGCCTAAATATAGTCATGTTTGATTTTGTTTGATTTGTCTTAACATATAGATTATTAATATATAATTTCTATAATTTTTTAATATACAAATTACAAGATAAAATGGATTAAAGAAGTGCATTGAATAGTATGTAAAAATGAAAGTGGACAAATACTCTGGGACGGAGGTAGTATAATATAAAGTATATTTAAAATACTAAGAATTCAATAAATTAACGTAACACGAAAATCTAAAGCATATGATTTTTAATAGTTATTTTTTATAAAATATAATTTGTGTAAGATGCAAATGTATTAATGTTTTTATATACGGAATATAGTATAGTATAAAGAGTATCGTAAGTTAAATTACAAATTGATGTTGGTTCATGATATAAATTACATAGTATGATTATTCAAATATTCGTTTATGATTCGATAACTATTCGAATATTAATCAAATACTTATTCAAATCTTATTTTGAATTCGTCTCATATTCGGATTCGTATTCGAAAAAATTAAAATTCAAATATATGGGTATTGTTTCAGTTTAGAGGTATTAGGTGTGCTCCGGCAGCAGAAAATGGCCACCGCTCCCTCGCGGCAGCGATCCGTATTCCTCGGTGTCGACGTCGGGACAGGCAGCGCCCGCGCAGGTGCCATCTCTCGTCTCACTCTGCCATACAGCCGTATTTGCTTTCTCTTTTGACTTCTCCTATCCAAAATCAAGTTCCATAAAAAGTAAAATCACGCGGTTAAAATTTATGATGAAAATGAGATATAGTATGAATCAAACGAAAAATTTGTTTTGAATCTCACAGTTCTTTGTTAGAGGAGAATGAAAATTTATTTTGATATTTTCCCTAAAAGAAAAAGAATATCATGAATTTCAAGCTCTGTGTTCGTCTTGTTGGGGCCTCTTACTCTCTTAGAAACAGTTTCTTTACTTTCAAGTAGGGGTATAGAAATATTTTCCACCTTAAGACTGGGTTGATGTTGTTTTCGTCGAATACCTATTTTTGACTATATTGCATATTCACATGACACACAAACAGATACCAATATGTGGAAGATTATTTGTATAATATGATCATATTATCTGTAGAATGGGATGCCTGAGGTTTAATTTTTATGAGTATCTATGTTTTTGTATCTAATTTAGAACTCAACTCTATTTTGATCGTATTTTAGTCACGTTTTATACCCAACTTCTCAAATTATGCATGAAAGTAGTATTCACCGTCTAATATCAGTACCTTTTTTACTAGCAAAGTATTAAGGGTGCGTTGGTAAAGATAACAGGTAACAAACAACAGTTAGCAGATGGCAAATTATTGTTTGTATAGGCATATTTGACTAGCATCCCTTATTCAGCTTTCAATCTGCTTGTGCATGTTTGGTTAGAGATCACAATGGGATATTAACAGAAGGGAAAATTGGAGAAATTTTAAAGAAGAGAGATACAAGAAGGAAATAGGAATTCTGTTGAGATATATTTCAGATGCAGAAGCCTATTGTGAAGCTCGCCATTTATCCATTATTATGAGTTTAAACTGAAAGGGGAAGTGAAAAAGTGAAATGAGGTGTGAATAGATTCTCACATCGCATTGCTAGGATACTGCCCACAAAACTCAAAGCTATAGGATACTAGCCGAGTTTGATCAAGACTAGGAGACTTACACTATGTTTGGTTCAAGGAATTTGGAAGGAAAAGAAAAGAAAATGGTTTTCTCTCATTTTCCTCACCAAAATGGGAGAAATTTGGGTTTCCATCCTCTTAATACATTTTGCCTTCTCATTTTCTATTCCTTTCATTTTTTCTTTTCTTTTCCTCTCTAATCAAACATGGAAAATTGTTTTCCCTCTCAATTTCTTTTCTTTTCTCTTTCAAATTCCTTGAACCAAACATAGCGTTAAGGATTTGCATTTGTTTTTCCTTTTATATTTAAAGCTCAAATGTCTCCTTTTGACTGTTAGTGTTCTTTATAATTACTTTTTTTTACATTTCATCTTGTAATATGTTGTCAAGTGCTCATATTGCTACTGCCCTCTTCTTTCACAGGTCTCTTTGATGAGGATGGGAAACTTATTGATTCTGCTAGCAGCCCAATACAGATTTGGAAAAATGGTGACTTTGTCGAGGTTTTAAACTACTTGACAGTGTTCCTGAGATTAAAGCTTTAGCCTAGTTGGTTACCGTGAAGGGAGTATTGATTTAACAATATCAATGTGTAAAATTTAAAAAAGAGTAAATTCCATAATTGGTCCTTTATAACAGAGGGGTTTCCCTATTTAGTCCTCTATTATCAAATATTATCCCAGTAGTCCTTCATTTATGGGTATCTTTCCACAAATAGTCCTTTTTTGATCTTCAATCATGTTTGTGTTAATTTGAGGGCTAAAAGTGTAATTTCAGAATGATAATATATCTTCTTTGTCATACACAATTCCAAAGGTTGTTCCGTTTGCGTAGTTTGTGAATTACAGTCGCTTTCTACTACAACCATAGTCTACAAATGTGGTCTTTCGTCTGAATTCTAGTCCACAATCATAGTCATTATTTTTGTGTTATTCGCTGAACCAATATCAGAACACGTCACTAGACATAATGTTGATGTCAAATTATGCTTTTAGCCTTTAAATTAACACCAACTTGGCAGAAGATCAAAAAAAGACCATTTGTGGAAAGGCACCCTTAAAAAAACGGACTACGGGGGTAATATTTGATAATAGAGGACTAAATATGAAAACCCCCCTGTTATAATGGACCAATTATGAAATTTACTCTTTAAAAAAACTATCTCAACTCATCGCCATCTCAGGCAATTTTCCATGCAAGTGAAGAAAGCCTGTTATGATGACAGTGTTGGAATTTCATCTCAAAATATCTTCGTAAGGTTACAACAGGAAGGGCACCTGGTGCAAAACTTTGTCATTGTTTTCTTGACACTACAAATTTAATGCTGTCTACCCACCACAGTAGAGCTTACGGTTATGATGATGATGATGATAGTGATGATATTGTTGCTTCTTGAGTGCAGCAATCTTCAACTGATATTTGGCTTGCAATCTGTACTGCCGTAAAAGCAGCATGCACTCTTGCAAATATTTGTGGGGATGATGTAAAGGGAATTGGTTTTGCTGCAACATGCTCCCTTGGTCTGTAATTTTTTAATTATTTCTTGTCACATGCAAGACCTTAATGAACCTTGAGTTCTGCTAATTGCTTATCTACTCATTGATTTTGACACTTTGCTCTCTCAAACAGTTGCTATAGATTTTGATGGGGAACCTGTTACGATTTCTTGGAGTGGTGATGCAAGAAGAAATGTCATAGTGTGGATGGACCACAGGGCATTAAAACAAGCTGAAAAGATTAACTCCTCTAACTCGCCGGTATTACAATATTGTGGCGGTGCTGTTTCCCCTGAGATGCAGCTTCCAAAGGTACGATAGGTAGTAACATATTCGAGCTGAGAGGACCAACTATTATATTTCTGTGCCCATGTATATACTAGAAACATATCCTTAGTTAATAGAGCTGTCCACACCATGTATTATAAAGACCTTACATGCTATTTAGCATCTACTAACTAACACTAACAGGTTATTTACCCTTGCTTCAAAAGAATCCTATCTTTTTGGATTCTAACAAAAAATTCAGGCTGATGGAGTTGACCTGTGAACGTAAATTCTTCAATACTTTGACCATCCCTAAATAAAGTTCTTGTTTTCCTTTTTTGAATATCTCTTAATAAAGCCCACTTTCCTTAATGGTGAAAGTAAAAGTTTTACTCTACTTTACTACCACCGTTTAATTTCCTCACTTACCATCATTAATCACTCTCAAGTCTCAACCACACATCATAAGGGAAAACTTGGAAGCAAAAAGAAAAACAATAGAAGAAATTGCTTTTAGTTTATTGCACAATATAATTATTTTCTGTTGAATCAAATGTATTTATCTTTTTTTTAAAAGAAATTTCTGCATCTCAGCTTTTGTGGGTTAAGGAAAGCTTGCAAGAATCTTGGTCAATGGCATTTAGGTGGATGGATTTGAGTGATTGGCTATCATACAGGTACGCTAAATTTTTTAATGCAGAGTCTTTAAATATTTTAACGGTCACCAATGATGAACACACAATTTTTATTGATTTCAATATCATATAGAGCAACCGGAGATGATACTCGTAGCCTCTGCACTACTGGTTGCAAATGGACATACCTTGGTCATGCTCATATGCATCAGGTCAATGAGAAAGATTCACGCACTATGGAAGCTTGTGGATGGGATGATGAATTTTTGGAGGAGATTGGCTTAGGTGATCTTATTGATGGGCACCATGCTAAAATTGGTAATTTAGTGAATATACAATTTAGTATTTCGGTTATTCAATTGTATTATTTGCAAGTTGTAATTTGCTCTTATCTTCTCAATTCTCATACCCCCACCAACCATATCCTTTGCCATCATGTAGCACTCAAAAGATAATTTTAGATTTGTATGATGCACCGGCCATCATGGATCGAGGATATTTGTGGCTCCTATAGTTTTGTGCACTGCACAGAGCTGATGGGATTTGTCATGCATATGTTAGTGATGAAACATAAAGAGAATGTGACTAGTTAACACATTGACACATATAAGTTTGAAAAATAAAATAGCACTTCAAATGGTAAGGACATGTTTACTGCACCAGTCATCAAGACTTGCATTAGTAAGTTCATGCTTGATATGTAGTTCTTAATATATCATTGCTTACTTCAATATCATAATGTCTTAATAACACAAAATATATCATTGCTTACTTCAATATCATTATGTCCTAATTACACAACAATGCATTTATGTGCTTATTGATGTGCGTTGAGATAGCAAATTTGCCACCAGTCACGTCCACTAAAGTCTGGGTGGCGCAGGGTAGTCCAGAAGAAGAGTGAAAGATACTCCCTCCGTCCACAAATAAACTTCGCGTTCACTATTCACTAGGTCAAACTTTATTCATTTTGTTGGCCTATTTTCGTCACCCATTTGATAAAATAATATAGTCATGTCACCTTTAGTTTTGTAGATCTTTTAATATAGTTTTTTAATACCATTTTTCATATAAAATGATTTGAAAATAACTTCTGTTAAACATCGTAACGCGCAACATGAAGTTTATTTGTGGATGTTAGAAAAAATAATAGGAAGAACAAATCAAATGCAGAATAAAATTCTGATTTTTTTTATTGTGAACTACATACAAGAATTCTATGTTCCTAGAGTATTTATAGACAGCAACCAACACAACTATTGGTACTAATCAACACATCTATTACTAACTAATACAACTTCTAGGAATAACTACCTATAACTTCTAGAAATAACTACCCAAAAACTGTCCCTTTTATTTTTAAAATTTAAATCTAAACTAACTAACTTATGGCCAGGAATTAAACAATACTATTAAATCTAACAATCACCCCCCTAATCGTAGTTTGTTCACACCAATCTTCACAGTAACGTTGGTTCATCATCATCTTCAATCAAATTTGCAATGTCTTCCTTTTGATCCCATTTTGGACATTCGTTCAAAAAATTTCCTAACTCATTGCACTTGAAACACTTAATGTGACTCTTATCCCGCTGAAACCGACCACCATCCTGACCCAGACCCCCGACCTCTACCTCGGCCACGTCCAAAGTCTTCTCGGTTTGAGCTCCAGCAACCACAATGCTCACATTTGTGCTCCTGAACCTTCTCTTTTCCATCACCTTTAGTGAATAGTTGTTTACCATGCGTATCTCCTTCCTCAGTTGGCTTTCTGATGCGTTCCTCGAATGCTTTCAATCTTCCAACCGCTTCTTGAAACGACATTGTGTTAATGTCAGCAAATTGTTCAATTGCAGCAACGATCTGTATGAACTTTTTTGGCACAGAACCCAAAAGCTTTCGAACCAATCTTGTCTTCAAATGCAGACCCAATGTTGTTTGCTTGTGTTGCAAGTTGACTAATTTTACCAGCAAAATCATCAAGTGACTCATTGTTCTTCATCTTTAGAGTCTCAAAATCTGATTCAAGTGTCTGTAATCGCGTCGCTTTAACCCTGTCAACACCAACGAAGCGAGTCTTCAAAGCATCCCAAATTTCGTTTGCTTCAGTAAACTGAGCAACTTGTAACACGATCTCTTCCGGCAAAGCTTGAAACAGATATGCTATTGCCATATTGTTCTTCTTTGGATCGGTTTCTATTCCTGGTTCGATCACCTCCCAAATCCCATTAACATTAAAAATTGCTTTGATCTTCACGGCCCAAATAGTGTAGTTTGTAGCAGTTAGAATTGGAACCGTAAAAGATAGTGAACTATTTTCCCTTGTAGTCACAATCTGTCTATTGTCTTCCATTGCACGACTTTAATTCCTTTGACAATTTTCACAAAATTCTTAGACTTTGATTCCTTCCTGGGTCGTAAGCCACCTGCAATCGACCCCCAACCAGAAAACAAG